TATTTTATGATAGCTGTATTTGGTATTTATGGGAGTAAAATTTATAAATCATGAAGATTGTTCTTAAAACTAGCTAGGATATCCAAATTTCAAATTCTCAAATCAAAAAGCTCTTTTGTCATGTGAAATCGATATGGAGTTTATCATAATTTAAGATTTCCAATCAGATATTTAATAAGAAGAAATCAATCAAAAAAATAATTAAATCTAAATTTAATTAAGAATCAATATGCTGAATGTATTTAAAATATAGTTTTCATAATTGAATTCAAGTTTGGATTAGCTTAAAAATGTTCTCTGTAGGAACTGATTATATTAAACTTTAAATATAAAACTTTGAACTTCTTAATTAATAATTACTTTTCTTTAATTTAATCCAGAATCCTAAAATGTTCTAAAGAAGATTAATATTAATTCTGCTCTTTAACAATTTATTTAAATTAATATACTTTTATGAAATCTCTATTTAGTACATCATGTCTTCAAAAGTAATGCAAGATAGAGCTTGATATAACAAACAAAGATGAAGATTAGCTTGATTCCTCTAAATCCTTCGCTATATTTAATTAAATATAATCCAAATTGTATTTTATATACACTAATTTAGGTTCAAAATACTAATACAATGTAGAAATAGAGGGAGTTGTTTTTGATGTATTGGCTCCTTGTGATTTGTTGAAAGAAATACCATTAGAAACTATAGAAATGGAAGAATGAAAATTTATTAAGAAAAAAAACCTATTATATATGAATCATTGAATCATTATATTATTATATTGTATTTTCAAAGATTGAAATTGAATACCTTTCCTTTGAAAATAATGTCTTAATAGAAATATTTTAGAAATTCTTTGAAGAATTTCTGAATCAGAATAATTTTCTGATTCAGAAATTCTTCATAGAATTTTCTAAATGATATTTTTTGTCAGATGTCTAGAAAGATTTTAATTCATTCAAATCAATTGAGTTCTAGGCGATATATTAAAACTATATATGTCGTATAGTCTATTACTAATCCAAATTATGCTTAATAATTAAAGAAGACAGTTATTTATAAAAAAAACTTTTTTTAGAAAATAATTTCTTCAATCGAGAGCTCTTTGCAACGAATGCAAATAAATTCAGTCCCTAGAGTATTTTTGAAATAGTCCATCTTCATTTAATTTTGTATTCCTTAATCCTTAGAAACAAAGCTTAAGATTGTGTAAATTTTCATCATTAAAAATTTTATCTGTGATTTCTGAAATAAAATCTTAAAATAAAAATTTTTATTCTAATTAATTGTGACTTAGAAATGATTGTATTTTAGGTTAATATTCAGCTCATAATTAATGAAATCAAAACTCAGCTAGTTGTAAAACCATATTAAAAGAAATACATCTTAAATATTTTGAAGATTATGACATATAGTCATAATTTAGCCCTCCATGATTATATTCTTGGTATTATTATTCATTTTTAAGCAAAGAAATATGCTTTGTTTAAATATGATTCCTCATGAAACCGAGATTAGTTTCCAATATTATCTGAAACACTTTCTGCAATTCTCAACTTATTAATACAAGATTTTTTTTAATAAATTAATTTATTTCATTCACGGTATAATTTTTCAACTCATATGATGATACTATACAATTTCGGAATTGCTATTTTTGATGAAAACCCAAGATATCCAATCAAGCCTTATTTTTAAATAGACTTAATTTTGAAAATGCCGATCCTCCGATTTGAGAATTCAAAACATGGTTTATAACTTTTAATAAGTTGATACATATTCTTAATTATTATTATATTTGATTCCCATCTTTCAGACTCAAATATAACACATTTATCAACCAACTTTTTAAAGCTTCATTAATCTTTTTACCAGATCGATTACTCTTAATTAGATGAATAATCATTGAATAATCTTCCATTTATTTTTGTTATATGATTTAATTTATAATCTCTAGTAAAATTAAATAAGCATATATATTCTTTTTGTGAATTCCATATCTAAATCATATATTTAATCTCTGGATATGATATTTACATTTTTCTAAATTAGAAAAATAATTTTCAATTCGTTCAATTTATTAATTTTTATTTATGGGATAGAAAAAAAATAAGATAAAGATAAGATCTTTCAAAATCATTAGTTTATGAGTACAACCTTAAATGACTTATCAATAATGAAATTCCTGTTCTGCAATAGCTATAAATTAAAATAATATTCTCTTATTAGTTGCAAATGATTCTACTATAAAAGTGTTCTAGTGCAAAAATGAATTATTAAAGCATTTACAAAATATTAGAAAATAACATTCTATATAAATAACTACTGTAAATTTTTTTAATCGAGAACCCATTTTATTTCTAATTCTAAACATACTAATTTAATTATTTGAAGCTAAATTTACTGTTTAATAATTCGTTCTAAATCTGAAGATCTTAATATAAATTGTTCCTATGATAAGACTATTAAGTTCTGGTATCTATGTAGCACATCTACTTAACTCTTTTGGTCTTGCTTATAAACGATAGCAACAAAAGAATAAATTAATGGATTATCATTAAATCCTGAAGGAAATAAATTGATCTCATGTGGACTAAACAACAAAACTTAGATAATAGAAGAAATAGATAAATTTAAATGGTAAATTAAATAGAGTATAAATTTATATTGTTGTGGATTTAGGTTGAGTTTCATTAACAATAGAAATTTTGTATTTTAACCAACCAGGAGATTTGAAGAATGTGTACATTCAACACAAAACTAAATAATTTATTAAATCAAAATAAATTGTGATTCAAGGAGGATCATAAACTTGTTAATAGCGTTTTCCATAGATCTATAATGATTCAAAACAAATTCTTATTTCAAAAAATGGATACAATGTAAATATTTCAAGTTTTTTTTTCAACACATCTTCATTTTCTAATATTGATTGTAAATTAGAATAATCTATAAATTAAAATTCAGATTCAGATGGATTTGTTGTTGGAACATTATCCTAAAATGGAAAATATTTAATAACATGGGATAAAGATTCAAATTAATTACTAATAAGATAATTTATTGAATAAAAATAAATCTTATATTATTCAAAATAATAATAATTTTTTTAATGACATTATATTTTAATGTATAAAAGATAACATCTTTTAAAGTTCATAATTTTAATCTTTTTGATAGATATAATAATTTATTTTAAAACAAATTTTGAATAAAATCAAGTTAAAGTCTAATTTTATCATTAAATGATAATGTAATTAGCATAATAAAAATATTAAAATAATAATGCTTCCTTTTTAGATGAATATGTCAAGGAATATTATTTGCCAATTCTTTATNTTAAAATAATATTCTCTTATTAGTTGCAAATGATTCTACTATAAAAGTGTTCTAGTGCAAAAATGAATTATTAAAGCATTTACAAAATATTAGAAAATAACATTCTATATAAATAACTACTGTAAATTTTTTTAATCGAGAACCCATTTTATTTCTAATTCTAAACATACTAATTTAATTATTTGAAGCTAAATTTACTGTTTAATAATTCGTTCTAAATCTGAAGATCTTAATATAAATTGTTCCTATGATAAGACTATTAAGTTCTGGTATCTATGTAGCACATCTACTTAACTCTTTTGGTCTTGCTTATAAACGATAGCAACAAAAGAATAAATTAATGGATTATCATTAAATCCTGAAGGAAATAAATTGATCTCATGTGGACTAAACAACAAAACTTAGATAATAGAAGAAATAGATAAATTTAAATGGTAAATTAAATAGAGTATAAATTTATATTGTTGTGGATTTAGGTTGAGTTTCATTAACAATAGAAATTTTGTATTTTAACCAACCAGGAGATTTGAAGAATGTGTACATTCAACACAAAACTAAATAATTTATTAAATCAAAATAAATTGTGATTCAAGGAGGATCATAAACTTGTTAATAGCGTTTTCCATAGATCTATAATGATTCAAAACAAATTCTTATTTCAAAAAATGGATACAATGTAAATATTTCAAGTTTTTTTTTCAACACATCTTCATTTTCTAATATTGATTGTAAATTAGAATAATCTATAAATTAAAATTCAGATTCAGATGGATTTGTTGTTGGAACATTATCCTAAAATGGAAAATATTTAATAACATGGGATAAAGATTCAAATTAATTACTAATAAGATAATTTATTGAATAAAAATAAATCTTATATTATTCAAAATAATAATAATTTTTTTAATGACATTATATTTTAATGTATAAAAGATAACATCTTTTAAAGTTCATAATTTTAATCTTTTTGATAGATATAATAATTTATTTTAAAACAAATTTTGAATAAAATCAAGTTAAAGTCTAATTTTATCATTAAATGATAATGTAATTAGCATAATAAAAATATTAAAATAATAATGCTTCCTTTTTAGATGAATATGTCAAGGAATATTATTTGCCAATTCTTTATAAGATTATATTTGTAAAATTTTCTTAAAAAATACTTATTAGTTTTACCATATATTATAAAATAATTTTTTTATTTAATTTTTAGAAAAATGTTTAGATGTGTTAATTTCCGAACAATATTTTCAATGGCAAGAAATATTAGGGTTATAAATAAATTAAAAAAGACTTAGGAAGCTTCTCAATAATTTTCAATGTCTTATGAAAATAAAAATGATGATGATGGTATAAACTGTCTTGATAATTAGATGTGATTGGAGATATAAATGATGTTTAATTAAAATAAGACTAAATTCTTAAAGATTCAAATAAACCTGATATTAATTTAATTAAAGAAACGGTATTATTTGATGGAGATGATCCTTATTATGAAAAAGTTGTCGATAGACCTGATAAAGGAACAGTTTGGGGATTACAAGGTGAACTTGTGCAATAAAAAGAAATATTATTTGATCCTAATCAATAATTGGACATATATAAATTAATTTCTTTTTTAGAAGTATCGATATTCTAAAATAATTGAGATAAATTAAATAAAAGATATTGTACATTATGATTTAGAAGAGTATGGAAAAGAATTACCTTAAAGATATGGTATTGTCGGAACTATGTATTCAAGCAATCATGGATGGAAAGTTTGTAAAGAATTAATTAAAGGATTTATGGTCTAATATCAAAAAGAATAAGAAGAAATAAAAAAATAAAATTTAGAATTAGGAATTGAAGCAATGAATGCTGGACCTGAATAGAGAGGAATTTTGAATCTAAAAAGACAACATCATTTAGGTATAGGAACTTATGGAAAACCTTAAATAAGTGGATAAAAAGATGATGAATGGTTGATGGTTTATTATAAGCAATACATGATTCATTTACTGACTGAAGATAGTAGATAAGAAGTTGATATTGAAGCTAAATGGATTTATCAACCTACAGAAGAACATATGGATGAATATGATAAATTAATGATTGCCACTAAAACAGGAAATAGAAGATTTTTCGAACCTTTTGAGTGATTAAAAATAATTAATTTTATAAATTATTTTTATATCAAAAAATCTTAGCTCTCTATTATATTTGAATTTTACATGTTTTTTTTATAGTTAACAAATTATGTATGGATAATAATGTAATTAATAAGATGATTTTAAAATTAAACTTAAATGATTAATTGATTTATATTAATGTTGCTAAATTAAATAAATATTGCATAAAATAATAAGCATTGATTATCAAATACTTGAAATTAATAGTAATATCAAATTTATTGAAATTTAAACTTCAATTAGTTGATATATACAGTATTATTAATAAGAGTTAAGGGTTTTTAAAATTATTATTATATTACTTAATTATGTAACTATTTTATTTTTAACTTATGCTTGCAGTAAAAACCTTTTAATTTCTTTTTTTATGTAATTGTTTTAAAATAAAATGAATATAAATGTTATTTTTATCTGTTTATAAATGAATAATTTATTAAAAATATATTTATTTTTTTGATTACGTTTTATAAAATCTTTTTATATAATTGATTTTAATGATTAAGTCATTAACTTTTGTAAATTAAATTTAAGAGAAATATAGAAAGATCTCTAGATACCAATAAATTTTAATTATACAATTTATGATGTGAAAAAAGAGTCTCATTTTTGAAAATCTAAATTAAAAATTTTTAAATATTTGATTAGTTCGATGATTATTTTGTCATAATATTCTGACATACTTAAATAAAAGGAAAATAACTTTTCTTCATAGATCAAATAATTTAAGTAGTGTTAAGATGAATGGATTTTAAAATCTTTGAACTATTGAAATTTCATCTAATTCTCTAAAAGCATAAATCAATACATAATTTTAGAAAGGAATAAATGATTTTGACACAAATGTAAAATATGCAATCTAAATGTATATATAAAAACAAACCTATAAAATATAGGATAATTACTACAAAATTTTAGGGTCAATGATGGATTTTGGATGATTAAATAGAATGAGAAGTTCAATAGATTTCAATTAAATGAAACATATATATGTTTTTTATGTAATTAGTTTTGAACAAGATTTAAAATGAGCTAGAAAACTTGAAGCAATTCTAATTTTGCTTACTACAAAAAATTGAGATTCAAAATTATTTATATAAATTCACGTTTTTGTTTAACAAAAGAGTTTTAAATATTTCTTATACTTTTAGAAAAATCCATATATAATTCTTTTAAGATTATAAATAGTAAAAAATGACATATTAATATTATTATTTTATTTTTATATGATTTCAATTTTATTCTTCTTGTTTTTTTTCTTTACTCTTTTCATCATCAGATGAGGATGAAGATGAATAAAAAAAAGAAGTTTTTTTCTGCTCTTTTTCCATTCTGCTTTATTATTTGAGTTAAGTTAATTCTTTTTTCAATTGTTTTAATGAAATTCCATACATTTCAGCAAGCTTTTACTTTTTTTCAGCTAATTTTTTGTTTTCTTAATCAGCTAAAGCTTGATATTTTTATTTTTCTTCTTCTGTCAATTAATGAAATAAAACCCATTATTGTTTTAGATTAACATTTTTGAGGGATTAAAAATACATTTATTATAGAGTATAGGCACCCTTTTTAACATAGAATTTGTTCTCATACTCTTCCAAAAGTTATTAATAAACTTATTTCTTCTCCTAAATATTTTTATTAATAATTTCTTGATCTTTTGCTTATTCTTCTGCAGGCAATTATTTAATAGCCTTAAATAAATCACCCCATTTAGCTTTCAAGTGTGGAAACTTATTTTAATAATAAAGAATCTTTTCTGATAATGGTGTTATCCTTTTTGGTGGTTGATAAGTTTATATCCATTCTTGTAATGCTTTATCATGGACTTCTTATTCCTAATATTATTTAAATATATAATTATACTATGTTTCTTAGTTTTTTTGGTTTGATTGGTAAAAAGTACTTATCTTGAAGTAATTAAAATTTTGAGAAAGCAAATATTGGTTGCTAAAATTTAAATGCTAATAATATTTAATAAAATGGATACCTCTAGTTAATGCAAACATTATTAATAATCACAAATATTAATGAAAAATTTATATTAAGATTTAATTTATTAATTATCATATTGCGGGAGGAAATTTCATCATTTCCAATTCCTTAATAATTTCCTTAAAAGATGGACGTTTTTCAGGATCCCTATCCCAACATCTTTTAGTGAGTCTAGCAAATACTTCTGGTGTTTTTTTTGGAATAGTTGGTCTAAAATCATTATTTAATACATCTAAAGAAACTTGTAATCCAGTAATATCTAATAATATATAATTTAATAATATTACTTCTATAAGGAGGTTCTCTTGCTGCTATTTCCCATAAGATTATACCAAAACTAAATACATCAGCTTTTTCTGTATAAATTTATCCAGCAATAACTTCAGGTGCCATCCATTAATATGTTCCAATTTTACTTGTCATATAATTAGATAGAGTTCTAGTCCATCCAAAATCAGCTAATTTAGTTCTAAAAGCTTCATCTAATAATAAATTCAGACTTTTCAAATCTCTATGTAAAATAGGAGGATTGAAAGAGTGTAAATATAAGACTCCTTTAGCTGCATCTAAAGCCATTTTTCTTCGATCTTCCCATGTCAAATGGATATCATGATTTTATATTACTTACCATAATGAACCTCTTTAACAGTATTCAAGAACTATTGCTAAATTAGGTGGTTTTGTACAAGCACCTAAAAACATTACAATATTTGGATGTCTAAGTGCTTCCATTGCATGACATTCAGAAAGAAAATCTCTTATATGATTTTCATTCATTCCATCTATTTTAAACATTTTAACTGCAACTGTTGTTTCTCTCCATTTAGCTCTATAAATTACTCCATAACCACCTTCACTTATTTATTTTTCAAGCATTATATCATTAAAATCAATATCCAAACTAGATTAAAATATTCTATGTTTTATTGGTCTTTCAGGTGATATCTCTAAAGCAGAAATATCAAATTTGGATTATTATTTTTTTATTTATCTTTAAATATAAGATTCGTTTGTTTAAACCTTTTAATCTTTAACTTTCTTTTTCTAAATCAAATCATTTTTCATTCTATCATATTTCTATTGCAGTTAAATATTTTATTATTTTAATATTTCTTATTCATTTCTAAATTTCTCAACTTCTTCACTTAATTTATCTTATTCTTTATGAGGATTTTCATTCTCATCTAAAATAATTTCTAAATAAGAAGTAGATAATAACAGAGTATGAAAATTACCACAAACAATCTTTTAAGTTTCTGGAATAGAGAATAATAATTTAGGAGAAATGATTCCCTTTGAATTAATACTAGGCTATCCATTTAATTATCCATAAATATTGGATCCCCATCCATATATCTATTTGTAATCAGCAGATAAAGCAACACAATGATTTCTTCCTGTTGATATCTATGATATTAATGGTAATCCTAAAACTTTCATAGGAACATCAGTAGAATTTTATTCTATTCCTAACTATCCTTAGATGTTTTCACCCATAGAATATACTTCTCCTTTACTACTTAAAAAGATAGTAAACATTTCTCCCATTTTCATTTCTAGAATACATTACTAATTATTTAATTCATCAACAATTTTAATCTGTTAAGGTAATTTATAATAATCTTTATTAGATTTGCAAACTCCCCAAATAAAAGGTCTACCACCTTCTATTATACATCCTGAATGTGCTAATCCACAACAGATTTTGTCAATTTTATAATGTTATAAATTTAATATCTATTTGAATTCATTCATAGTTTAATTTTCAGGGTGTCCTAAAGCATAAGATTCTCCAAATCCACATGAAAAAACTCTATTTTTATTAGTTAGAATAATTGTATGTAATGCTCCACAAGCTATTTATTATACAGCTTCATCATTTTATAATAAAATTTAACATTGTAATTCATTTGAACTCTTTTATTTAATCTTTTCTTTCATCATAACGATTTATTCCATTATATTATCAATAGAAGAGGACCTTTCTTTTAAACCTGGAGATGTTGATTAATCTCCTTCATTTGCACTTTTCATTCTTTTATGTCCAATTTATAATTCTCTTGCTTTACTATTACTTGTACCAAAAGGCAATAGACCATATACAAGAGTAGGTTAGAAAACATTATCAAAACTACCTAAACCTAATTACCCTTTTAAATTTAAACCCCAAGAATATACCTCACCTTTAGCTGTCAACATAAATGTATGTTCTGCTCCACAAATTACACTTGTTATTCTTTAATCTTTAAATATTGGAGTCAATTTAGATTAATTGTTAGATTCATATCCCAATTAACCAAATTAATTATCACCAAATCCTAAAACTTCATTTTTATTATTAACTATTATAGTATGGTTTTCACCAGCTGAACACAATTAAATACCTTAATAATGAGGACTTATGTTTTTATTTTATTTTAACAATTATCCACATGTATTCAAACCTACATATATTCTACTCATATATATACCCCATGAATATAATTATATTGTATCTAATTGTAATTATCTTGGAGATTTTGAAAAGTCACTATATGATCTAGGTGGTCTAACATCCTTTTCTTTCAACTGTTTTAACATCTTCCTTGATTCAGTCAAATCATTCAATCTCATTAGTTACTCTTCTCAATTATTTTAAATTCAAATTTTATTATTATTTGTAGTAGTATTTTTTATAATATATAAATCTTTCATAATCTCTTCCTCACATTCCAAATTGCTACCATGAACTATTCAAATTATATCTCATCTTCTATCAAAGCACTATAATTATTATAATAGTCTATAAATTCTTCAAAAGAAACATTTGGATTTTTTAAATAATCTCTTCCACTCTATAATTAGTAGTAGATTAATTACAAATATTTAATGGTGTTATTCAAAAGTATCAATAAATTCACATAACATTTCATCTTCTCTTTTTCTATTCAATTTAACATCTGGATGTTCCTTTACATTAAATTAATCTAATTATAAATTTCATTCCATACTTTTCAAAACTTCTATATTTTATTTAGTCAAAGATTCAAATACTTATTATACAATATTAAATTTCCTTAAACTCATAGTACCCTAAAGTTTCTTAATAAAATTGTCATATATAATCATCCCATTAATTTACTATGAATTAAATACATCTTAAATGACCTAATCATTTAGATCCAATCTCCAAGATTTAAAACTATTTAACCAATCATTTAAAGATAAGGATCCTACTCCTTATGAATCAAAAATTCTAAATCTTTACTAAATATTAATTAATCCTCTTATACCTCTTTACATAATCTTATTTTTTAAAATTTAAAAACTATCAATTTTTTACTTTTACTATTTAGGAGTTTACTCTATTTATAAATGAAATTATTATTATTATTATTATTATTATTATGATGATTATTATGAAATTTAAGAATGACCTAATTGTACATTTGATTTAGAATTATTATTATCTTAAAGTGGTTTAAAAATATTGAATGATGCTGGTTATTCAAAACCTGATGCTGGTCTTTATTATTATTAAGAATGTTCTTATTAAGTAAAAGTACCAAATGGTGCATTTGCAGAAACACTACCACCTTAAACAACATAACGATGATGATCTTATAGATAACTACGTTTATGATCTGGTTCAAATACTTATTTATTACCAGCATGATGACTTTTTTATTATTCTGCTTATATTTTAAAAACAGTAACAAGGATTTATTCAAAATATTTGTCATCAGGAATTGATGCACTAAAATTACTAAAGTATTCTATAAGTTCATTTTTATTAATATTTTCATTCCCAAATCCTCCATTTATATTATGTAATTATTATAAAGGTTCAAAGAAATCTTAGGTAATTTCATCATCACTTTTTTTTCCATTTTTCAAATCAGGATGATTTCTTACTATGAAATTATTTCTTAAATTTGAAATAGTGATAAACTCACCTTGTCTATATTTTTCAAATAATTATTCTACTAATTATAATCTCTATTCACTCATTTCACCTCTTAATACGAACATAAATCCCCAAATATCAATTAAGCCTGATAAATCTCTATCAAAATATTAAAATACTAAATCTATTTCTGGATCAGTTACTTCTATTTTATGATCTCTAATAGCTTTTCTAAATTCTGATAAATTTAACATTCCATCTTAATCAGCATCTAAAATCTTCGATACTCTATACAAAGATATAAATCCTCTAGCTCCTCTTGATATTAATCTATTTCGAATTCTTTAAACTATTAACTCTACTTATTTAGATGTTGCAGATAATTATGATAATTAAGATTAATGCGATTTCTATGATTAATGAGATTTAACAGACTTCGGTACAGATTATCTAGACTATTCTAAAACAGGTTCTTATATATTTTATTATATTGGCGTTCTTTATAATTGAGATTGTTAATATTATTAATATGATTTAGTTGATTTATTTTCAGGAGAAAAATTTAATTATTAATTCACTTATCTTTAAGATCCAGGTGATTATTATAATTATTATTAATATGACTTTTATTTTGCACTTTATTATGGAGATGCTTATTATTATTAATTTAATTAATCTAAGTTCCAAACTTAAACTATAATATTTCTGAAAATTTCATCATTTTAAATATTAAATCCAAAATATGAATAAAAGTCTAACCAATCCTATAAACTCAATACTTTAATTGCTCTAATTTATAAATAAAGACTAAGTCCTGTAATGAATTCTTCTTTTATTTCGTTTTAATCTCTTCCCAAAAACTTGATTTCTGGATGCTTATCAAATTAAAATCTATTTATTAAAAATTATGGTGTTAATTCTCGAGTCTCAAAAGTATAAAATACATTAGTTATTAATGCTTATCTAAACTAATTCATAAGCTATCCTTTTATTAAACTCATCAAATTAGATTAACTCATAAACTCTCCGTTAAATATTTAATACATTCCTTCTACTTCTATACCTTACCTTCTTAAATACTCTTACAATTATTGACAGTTAAATTAATTTGGTAAACTTATTGCTAAATTTAACAACCCCAATGCTCCCTTTAATTATATTTTTGCTCTTAAAGAATCTAATGGAGATGCTATTATTCTTGATTCCGAATAATCCTCTATATTTGTGTCTTTTATAACAACTCTATTGATAAAATCTTTATAATTTAGTTAAACACCATCTGAATAGTGATTCCATAATTTTTCAGCAAACTAAAATAACAAATTTAACTTACATCTTATTCTGCTATTGTTACCCCTGATTTTGCTATTGCTTTTAAAAAGTCTTATTTTTTCAGAAATCCTGAATTAGTCAAATCAAAGAATTTGAATATTTTAAGTAATACAGTGTCAATCCCAACTCGTGATGAAGCTTTGAATTGTAATTTTGTTACTAGTTCTTTTTCAAATTGTTGTATATCCATTTTAACGATAATTTAAATTAATTTATAAGAATAGTCAACCATTCTCATAAATTCAGGCATTCAATAATTTTTTATAAATATATAGATTCAAGAACTATTCTCTCGTTAATCTTCATTCTAAATATTATGCTTTTATTCTTCTAACTTTCTCATTTATTTTAATTTCAATTTAATTTTTATATCATTACGATAAATTGATACATACTGTTGATAATATCTATAAAGCCAAATAGAATAAGACTTTATAGGTGAAAAAAGAATCAGCATTTGTTTTAATTGGAAGAAATACTAAGAAGATTAGTTGAATCATAATTAACAAGTTTGATTGAAATACTATTAATATTGAAAAGGTTTGAATAATGTTACTGATTAAGCTAGACATTTAAAAGATTAACATTAGACGAAGAAAAGTTATCTATCTAAAATTTATATATTATTTAAATTGTAAATAAAGGTTTTCAATTTAATTATAAGTTAAACAAGCAACTTTTAAATTTACTAAAGAACTTATACTTCAATTGTGTACTGAATTTTACATATATATATCACTATGATAATAAAAAAATTTATAAAAAGATGTAAAGAAACTTTTAATTTGGATTAATGTTAATCATAAATTTATTTAAACTTATAACGATTAAATTAAGAGTCAAAAAATGTGTATTATAAATTTATCTAATTTCTCATTCTATCATAATGTGCTAATTAATAATGATATTTGAATATATTCTTTCTTATTATTTTAGATGAATTTTTGATTGTATTTAATTCACGATTCTTGTGACTTTAATCTTTTTATGAAATATTTTTATAAGTCCATTCTCAAGTTAAGATATTTATTAATCTATTCTTTATTTTATGATACTGAAAATTGTAATTGAATGTGCATTAAAAGAAAGGCTTGATTATTGCAAAGAAATCATTTAATTTGCAAATATTAATTGAATTGAAATGAGTCCTTTTAATTATCAGCTTCTTCCAGAGATGACATTAAAGTATTAAGATTTTTGTAAGGCAATTGCTATAAATTTTGATAATTCGATAGTATTATTGTCAGCAGGAACAAAAATCAATATTTTTTATTTCAAAGAAGGATATTTGAAACTACTTCAAAAATTAAGAAAACATTCTAATTATGTTCATACATTGAATATGTTTAGAAATAATTAAAATTTTATATCTAGTGCATCAGATAGTTAAATTTTTATTTGGAACATTAATCTCAACTAAAACTCTAAATATCTAATAAAATTAAAGGAACATTCATAGAGTGTTAATTGTTTATTAATTCGTTAGCCATAAGAAGATTTAATCATTAGTGGCTCTTCAGATAAGAGTATTAAGTTTTGGTCGTAAAATTCAACTTCAACTAAAACTTGGTCTTGCTTTTAAACTATTAATAAACATACTAGTGATATATTTGGAATGTCTATAAATGAAGAAGGCAATAGATTACTCTCTTGTGCAAATGATAAAACTATTCTAATTACCGAATGTTAAATGAATGGATTATGGTGTATAAAATAAAGAATAGATGTTAAAATCTCAGGTGGAAGAGTTACTTTCATAAAAAATGAATTATTTGTATTTCTTCCGAATATCTCTCCTGATGGAGAAACTTTCGAAGGTAGCGAATAAATTGAATTATATAGATTAAATTAATGCTCATAACAATATATAAAATGCAATACTATCCCAATTAAAGGAGGGGATAATGATTGTACACCTTGTTTTCCCTAATTATATAATAATAGCAAGTAAATTTTGATATGCAAAAATGGAGAATATGTAAATTTTCTATAATTTGACGTTTTTCACTCTTTAGAATATTAGTGTAAATTTTAATTTGCAATTAATTTCTTTTCTAATCGAACATTTGGAACTCTTAGTTAAGATGGATAATATTTTATAACTTGGTGTTATAAAACTGAACAAATTTAAATTAGAAAATTTAAAAACTGATAAAATATATATGGATATATATTATAATATTTTTTATATTATCTATCTTATTTTAATATTAAGTTTATAGTCTAAACTTTTATTTATTTGTTAAGATAATTCTTAAAATTATTGGATTTCTCTTACATTATTTTAAATTTTCAATAATAATTGATTGATTGATATGATGATCTTAAGTATAAAAAATATCATATTTTAGAAAGGGCGAGATTGTTAAAATACAATATAAAATAGCGAATTTTTATTTAAGAATCGCACTTTTAAAATGGTGTTTAATTTTAAGAAGTTTTTTTGAAAATTTTTTACAATATAAATGTTCAATTCTAATGAAGTAAATATATAAAATTAATAAATTTTGATAGATGTTATAAAAATTAATTGATTTATTGTTTCGAAAGACTATTAATAATAGGGAAAATGAAATTGAAAATATTTCGGTTGTTGCAATAAAAAAGCAAAGAGTAAATCAGTAAAAGTAATTTTTTATTAAAATTATTGTAAAGGATAATAAATGATGCAAATTTAGACTTCAACTAAATGTCAATTATTAAAATTGGCCAAATACATTTTAAAAATAGTAAAAAAATTAATCAAAGTGGAAATGAATGTAGCTATGACGATTTTATTTAATAATGATATTATTAATTAATAATGAATTAAAGTAATTAAAATATAGTGATTAGACATGGATTTCAGTGTAAAAAAGAAATAAATTATTACTAAATTTCTGCAGCAATGATATACTTAGGGCATTATTTGTTGATTCTCTTTGAAACATTAGAATATGTAAGCATAACATTTTTGAAAATTTTATCAGAATCGCATCTGGATGTTAGTATCGCTCTTCACATTTTTTATCACATTATTTTGGTTTATCACAACAAAAATTGATCCAACCGATCCTGAAATATATCATTAATATAGATTGAAGGCATAAAAGTAAATATATAAATGAATATACAAAGAGCAAAATATCAAACAAAATTAAATTGTTATTGTAAAATTTGTTTAGCTTTTGTTAAGGGACCTTCAAAACATTGTAAATCATGCAATCGATGTACGGATTAATTTGATCATCATTGTATTTGGTTAAACAATTGTATTGGATCGTAAAATTACAAATTTTTCTTTATATTAATGTTTTTATTAGAACTATATCTAATTACTGTAATGATTGTGAGTTTTATGATAAAATCAATAATTTGTTATATTGAGATAGGTATTACGTTTTTGTTACTGATACCAATAACATTTTTACTTGTTATGCATATATATTTTCGATTTAAGGGAATAACAACTTATGAATATATATTGCTAAAAAGAAAAATTGCATAAAAACCATCAACAACATCAACAACAGGAAAGTTAGATGAAAAATTATAAGAAATTACATAAAATCAAACAAACATTTAAACTAATATTCTATCTAGAAATTATATATAATAGACAAATCTAAATCCATTAACAAATAATTAAAAATCTTAAAATAATAATAAATAACCAATAGATTGGGATTAAGAAGACGCAGATGTAGAAGATGCTTAAAGTTTTCATGTTAAAGAGCCTTTACCATTATCTAGTTAGAAGAGCAGTGGTAGGTAATTAGATTTATAATGTAACTCTGCGAATAGAAGAACTTGTCCAAATTCTCATCGGTATTGAATTGGATTATAATAATAGAGGGAATACATCTGGGTTATAATTGACAGACCATAAACCAATTAAGTCTTTATTTAATGTTAAAGATGTCTAAAATTTATATGAAGATCATATGGTTAATAATGTAAATGAAGGTTCTATCATCCATTTTGATTCTAAAAATTCATAAAAAACTGATTAATTAGATATAAATATATGATCAATTTTGATTACTTAAATACCATGTTGCTTCTTGGAGATTAAATAAAACAAATCAATCCTCCTATGGCTTATTATATTAAATACTTCGCAATCAAGAAAGTTCTTTCTTATATTAATAGCAATTTTAAAGTACCCAATTTTATTGTAATTCTTTATCATTATAAATCCAATAGATTCTTAATAAACAAATTACTATTATTAGATAAGAGATTGATTTATTGAAAAAACAAAATGAAAAACGATTCTAATCTTTTGAAGTTGATATGCGCAATATTGAAGATTCAGCATTAAGACTATTTAATCATATTGATGATCTGGAAAGATAAGGATAAGATGAATTATGCTCATCATTTATTTTTGCAGTTCATTTGTTTTCTATTTTATCATTCTTCAAACCACTTAGAGATGATTTTCATGAAAAAAGTATAATTACTAATATTTTAGAAAAATATTCATAATATAAAGCAATAGAACAATATAATAAAATGGAAAGTAGTGGAATCTATATAAATAATTAGAAAATTAATCTTAAAGTATTTGTAGAAAGTTATTTATTTGATTTACCTACAGAAAATATATGTAATTAACCTCATTAACCTGCTTTATTAAATTCTGAGGCTCCTAAAATTGGAAAATTTGAATGGAAAAAAACTTAAGAACTTGAAAAATATGAAAATTTAGAAAAAGAAACAAAAACTAAAATTAGAGCAGCTATTTCTGAACTTGATTTTAAATAGTATAAAAATGCATAACAGCAGATATTTACAGCTATTGATTTATTAAATAATTTATTAAAATGAATCTTTTAGTTATTAAATATTTTTATATAAAATTTTCTATGAAACATTCTTGTTTCTTTCATAATAATTTTTATATTTAGATCTTTTCTTATTTTAAAATTAAAAAAATTACTCAAAAATTATTTGAAATCTTTATAATTATTTGATACTTTTGTAAATAGGACTATGAATAATATTCATAGTTTTAATTTATTTTATTTAAAATTAAGAAATGGACAATCAATCAGAAATTAACTTTGATGATATTTAAGATCAAGAGGAATTGTTAAATTAATAAAATGAAACTAAACAATTAGAATAGAAAAAAAACTTAGAAAATCAAGAGAATAAATAAGATTAATAAAAAGAAAATTAAAAGAATTAAATGAATAATGAAGAATATGAATAATATAGTGAATAAGATGATTAGGAATTTAACAATTACAATAAAAATAATAATAAAAAAAAAAATAATGGGAATTTTGATGATGATGATGAAGAAGAAATTGATAATATCTATACAAAAAAAAATGAAAATATAGAGAAATAATAACATAAAATTGAAGAAGAAAATTAATAATCTAAAAATGAGAATTTAGAACATTAAACTCCTCTTAAGGAATAGGATTAAGATTAAAATGAAATTTAACATAATAAATCTATAAATTAAAGTAATAAAAGTTAACCTAAATAAGAGTCAAACTCATAAAAATAATTAGATAATAATTCATAAGAACATTAATAAAACTCTGAAATTAAAAGTGAATAAGATTTAAATTAATATAATGAAGAAGTTACATCTTAAAAAGGAGAAAAAAGCTAAATTAATAATCAAGAAGAAGAAAATTAATCTATTTAAAATGAAAACTAAAAAGAAGATTAAAATCAATAAGAAACTGATAAATAAGTTGTTGAAAAAAAGGAAAAAAAACACAAAAAATCTAAATCAGAAATTGAAAAGGAAAAATTAGAAAAAGAAAAATAAAAAAAAGAAGATCTCAAAAAATAATTGGAATCTGATCTTAAAGAATTTGAGTAATATATTAAAACCTAAAAAATTGAAGAAGAATAAAAAAAAAAAGAGGATAAAAGAAAATTATAAGAGTTTTATGAATTTTAAAGAAAATTAAATTTGAATTCTTTATAAACAATAAATAAAGTTTAAATATTATAGCCTAACTTACCTTTAGTGAAGGCTAATTATAGAAAAAGAGTTTAAATAAGTGAAGACATATAAATGAATAAGAAAGCATAAGAATTAGTGTAAAAATATAATGCAGATAGATATGGATCATTAGAATAAAATTAATTAAGCTTAATAAAATCAATTAATGAAAAAAGTGCTCTATTTTAAACAAAAAATTTAAATTCGATTAAAGAAGTAGAGAAATTAGAAACAATTTAAATTAAAAATACACAAGAATCTATTAGAATAAATAGTGTATAATCAAAAGGAAATTTAAAAAATAAAAAGAAATGAAATTTAATTTATAGAATATTAACTATCATATAATCTTTACTATTTTTTGATAATTTGTTAAATGCATGTATTCAAAAATAATATTATTTGAGGAGAAATTCAAGTTTCCAAAAACCTTAATTTTTCTAATTTTTTATGATTTTATGTATATGCACTTATTTTAAAATTCAAAATAGGAAACAGCATAGTTTTTGAATTGATATTCTATAAATAAAATATTTTAATTGCTGAAATAAATAAAATACAATTATAATAAAGAACATAATTTATGTACATGAATGATTATTAACTTGTACTTAATACAATATCTAAATTTTGATAATTTCATTTATTTTTTTTGATATCATAACAACTATTTTCAAAAGTATTCTAGATACATGATTATTAAATTTAATATCCATATTGATTCCAAAAATCTGCTAAACAACTATATAAAAACTGGAATTAGTATGATGATAGTATATCCATTAATTAATATAAAATAATTAAAAAGATTTAAAATTTAATAATTTTATAAATTATTTAAATAAATTAATATATATGATTCATCTTTATAAATATGTTCTACAAGTATAACATAATATTTTGTTTGCATTATTAGATGTTTAACAATAACTATGTCTAACTACGCATCCACATTTCTTACAAAACAACATTGATTCCATATCTTAGTTTCCATGGCATTCTTCACAAAACTCATCATCTGCAACAATAAAACTATCTCCACCATCATCTTAAATATTTATATTAATATACATTGACTATCTTAAATAAAACTTGATTAAAGGATTGAATTTTATGCCTATAAGTTCATTTCATCATGTTCATCTAAATATTCTTGCTTTTTTAACTTTTTATTTAATTTTATTATCTTTCCTCTTAAATACTCTCCATCTTCTCCTCTTATGCAAATTGTGTACTAAAATTAATATTGATATTATACATTTTAATATTGTTTTCTACATAAAGGACAATTATTTTAGTATTTTTCGCATTATATTTATATACATTTTTGACAAAATAAATGTCCACACTATAAAATAGCAGCTTAAATTATTTCTAAATCATTATAGCAAACAGGGCATAATGAAGCTTCTTATTAGGCTGCTTATACAATTATATCTTATTTTTTAATTAATTTATATTTTTTCTTCTGTTCCACAAAGTTTTCTTTTATATTTTCATTTTTTTCATTTGTTTCAACTTCATCATCAAAAATAGCATTTCTATTTCTTTTTTGAATTTTCTCTTTATTCAGATCTTCGTTTATCTTTTCAAAATCATTTCTAATCAATCTTTTTTTTCCTTTATTTTTTTATTTTAATTATGGTTCTTCACTATCCTCACTTGATATTATGATTGCCTTTCTCTAAATTTTCATTAAATTATATAATGATGAATTTCTGATTATTTTAAAAATAATAAATTAAATTAATAAAAGGAATAATCTAAAAAATTACAATTCATTTTTAAATCAAATGAAGTTCTCTTTCTCCTTCAAACTTCTAATTTATAGAATATGTTAAAATGTATTAATTTCTATCTATAATAATATCAAAGATTCTAAATATTTCTTCATCGAAGATTTCAATTCAGATAACCTGAATATTGTTTATTTTTTAAATCAGCAAATAACTAGGTCAATCAATAATTATTGAATGAGAAATTTAGTTTTATGCTATAGATTTAACTCAGACTTATACAAATTCTATTTTTTTAATGTTTTCTTTTAAAAATAGAACGTTAACCTAAAAGATAACTTTAAGATATAAAATTTTAATATTAGTAAATAATTTTGGATTAAAATATAACAGCTTCAATAATGTTTGATTTATGAATGAATATTTGTATATATAATTTAGAAGCGAAGAGTTTTATTTTAGAGTTTTTTAAATATTATAAAAAGATGATTTTATGATTGTCTGGAAATTAAATCAAATATTATCATTCTAATTTAACTTTTTTATTATTGATTTCTTCTTATTCACGGTATGCTTTAAACGAAACAGCTAATTCATAACATCTTTATTTCATAGACGAAATCCATGGTACTCTTTTGTATGAGGATATTTTCTAATCATTATAAAATCTATATACGTCGATTTATCCAGATGCAATAAATTTCATTACTTATTTTGTCATATTCTAAATTTTTTCATTGTTTTCTTAATCCCATATTTCATCAAAGTTTTCTAAGTATATATAATTACAAAATACCTAAATATTCAAGATATCCTTGATAAAACTTATCAGAAGAGAAAATTTTCTTTAAATAAGAATTATTCATAGTTTTATTTTATGATTCTGTTCTAAAAGGTATTAATTCTTCAATATTGTCATCAGTCATAAAATACTCTTTATAAAAGACCTTCTCAATCTCATATGCACTCATTGTAATTTCATTTAAATTCATCTTTTATTTGAGATATTTAAAGCATTTTCGTATTATAAACTTAATCTATTCTTCTTTTGTTTTCTTTTATTTTTGATAACGATTAATAAGTGTGTCAATTAAAGAATCATCTATTTTTGTCAATATCTAAACTTATATTAATATCATACTGCATATCGATATTTTTCATCTTCTTCCATTTCCTTAACATCATTTTTACTCAAATACTCTAAAAATTATTTTAGTTCTTATAATATTTGATCTTACGAAAATTATTTCAGAATTTCATTTTCTTTCTTCTATTTTGGTAACACTCTTTCTGATTAGCTTTTTTTAGTACGAATATCATGTTGTTATGCTGATGGGATTGTTCTTTGAGATGATTAAGAAAGAAGAGAAAATTATTAAAGAGCATTCAGTGAAGGAATCTGAACACTTTATTGATTTGTACAATTATTATGTATAGCACTTAGCAGTTGCAAATTCTATGTTATATATGATATAAGTACTTAAAAGTATTGAAATTAATGTAGTTAATGCATTTACAAATATTACCATTGTTATCCTGGATTGATAAACTATTAAAATGGATTCATAAAATAATTAATATTCTCTCATTTAAATTTAGATTTAACTTATATTCTCAATATCAAATTAACAGAAACTGAACTTTGTCATTCCTCCTTTAATCATCCTCCAAAGACAGACAATCCAAAATAAAGTAAAATATAATTCATTTTTAAATTCAACCTATTTCAAACATCTATTTTTATTAAAAACAAAACTTTAGCCAAAGAAATTGTTTGAATATATATAATATTATTCAATATTATGAAATTATTACCATTCAATGGAATTAAATTATTAACAATTCAATGTATGTTAATAATAAATTTATTTTTAATAATACTTTTTACAATAAAACTAATTTCTTTAACTGAAATTTCATTAATCAAAGTATCTAAAGATTTAATTTTAGAAACAAAATATAAAATCAATTAACTAAAAAAACTGTTTTAAAATCAATAAAGAGTATTTTTTTAACTCTATTTTTTGAATTTAATAATGAATAGTAAATTATCTACTTTAAAAAAATAAATAAATTAATTATTAATGAAAAATAATATTTCATAATGATTGAAAAAATTCAATAAATTATTTGCTTATTAATTGTTATAATTGGAGCTGTTACAATTCGTAAATGAAGAAAAGAGTGTTAAATTAATCAACTATATACTTTTAAAATCTTCAAAATTATTATTTACAAGTTATTGGTAAGTTTGAATGTATAAAAGCTAATTAGTTACTTCATTCTTTAAAATTTATTAAATTATAGATAAAATAATCTAAAAAAAATAAATTTTTGTAAAGAGTCTTATAGATTGATTGTTTTATTTTTTTATTTTATATGAACGTTGAATAAATTTTACAAGGGCTCAATCCAAATACTACAAATATTAATTTAGAGTTTAGGTATGAAATATAATCTATCCTAAGATAACTAGATAGCATAAATAATTTAGTTGAGAATTTTGCTCGATTTTAGAGATTAAAATATGTAATAGATTTATACTACTTTAAGATTAATCTTCAAGGTAATCAACTTACTCAATTGAGCAATAACTTAGCAATTCTATTCATAGAAGAATTGGATATATCATAAAATCCCCTAGATTTTGATATTGTTATAAAGCAATTATAATAGTTATCCAAATTAACGAAATTGCATATGACAATAAAACCTGAAGAAGTCTAAATAATATAAGAAAATTTGCCATAATTAAGATTTCTTAACAATCGTGAAATAAACCCTGTAGTTTTTAAGCAAAAAGATTTAGAATAATATGCCATACAATTTGAGAAATTGATAGAGATATCAAAAGATGATAGATTGAGAAATCTATTTGATGAACATGTTAAAAATGTGATGAAAGATCTCTCATTAAGATTATCTAAGGATTTGCCTATATTTAAAGCAAAAACTCACTTATTAAGAGCTAAATATGCTCTATAAGAACTGAATTTTAATATGATAATTGAATATACTTAAAATTTGGATTAGAAAATGAGTGCTATCTTATAAATGGTTCATGATGATCATGCAAATATTTTTAAAGAATTAACAAACATCATATTGAGTTAAGATTCCATAAATCCAGTGAGTTAATATATAGAAAAATTGGAGAAACAAGAATTGTTAATAAAGTAATTGGAATCAGATTTACAAGAATAATAATAAACAATTTAAATGTGTCAAGAAGAGAATCAAAAATATTTAGACCTTATAATTAGACATGGAAAAACTAATTATGATTCAAAATAACCCTAACAGAATTATTAATAATAGTAACAAGCATTAAAACCAAATAATAAGAAAATTGATACTTCAGTTATAAAAGAGAAATCATTACAAAATAGTTAATTAAATGAAGGATCCTAATTGTCCACTGCTAAATTAATACCATTAAAACTCTTGAAAGAATAGATATAAGAAATTTATGATTCTAAAACTAAATATGATTTAAAATGTTAAGAGACAAAATAAGCAAGAGAAACTATGGAATAATATATGTACACATATTTAAATTAAAAATATGGATTAAAAGTAATATTAAATTAAATTTAAATAGAACATTATAATTGAATAGGCTAGTACTATTATTCAAAGTGTTAAACGATTAAGTTAAGAAGATAATGATATATGTGTTTTTGGTAAAATTTTGAGAAATGAATGTGATGAAGAATTTAGATTTGTTTAAATTTAAGTTAAGTAAACTATTTCAGAACTATTACGGATGTTTTTGAGATAAAAAAATCCTTTAAAAAATATGACAGATATCAAAGAAATGTGGAATTAAAAGATGCAAAATTATTTAAGTTTAGATGAATGTTAAGAGATTGTAAATTATATGTACAATCAAGAAGATAGTTAAGTCTTATTATAAAAATTGAGTCAAATTAAATTATAAGGTAATAAATTAGAATATTGTTAATTTGTTATGTAAATTTTAGATTTCTAACTATTTACTCATGAGAAATATTTATAAAAGTTTCTTAAATTATTCAGATAAGTGGATATAGAGAAAAAAGGATATTTATCTGATGTAAATTAAATATTATCTTATAGGTTTAATTTAGATAATTAATGAATACTACAAATCTCAATTTATGTGAGGAAGAAATAAATAAATTTATGTGTATACTGGATCCATTTAATAATTAACAAATGACCTTTTCTTCTATTGTTTCATTGCTTTCCAGTGTTGGAAGAAATCAAGTTACTTTATTATAAAAAATTTAATGATTTTTAAACAAAAATATTTTATCATTTTTTATGAGATGAATTATTGATAAAATAATTAAATTTTTTTTCATTTTTTTTGAATCATGCTATGATTTATCTTAGCTCTTTAAAAAATTATGTCTTCTTGAAATAAGATTAGTTAAAATATTTTGACAATTAAACCTTATTTCGATTAATTCTTTTTTTTATTTATTAAAAATGTCTAAAAAAATGAGACTTAATCAAATCTCTAGTCTTACTGGAGACTAACTTAATCATCTACTCTCTTCTCCTTCTGAAGAATAACCTAGAAAAAGTTTGAAAAAAGTCACATTCGATGGTTATACTCTTTATCTTTAATTTAGAGCATTTGACTGTCCAATTTAGGTCTAATCAACTCTACAATAACATCTTTTCAAAAGATCTAATTCAGTCAATACATAACCATGAATTCATGATATTATAATTCATATTTTATTTGAATCTCTAAAATACCTTTATTTTAGTAATAAGAGTAGTTATTTTTAGAATTTGTCACATAATTTGAGAATTTTAATACAAAATGAATTATAGAATAGGTTAGTATAAAGAAAATAAAAATAAAACAAATTTTTGCAATTTATATTACTGATGTTGAAAAATTAATCACTAAATATAACATGATGATAAAAAATAAATTATATTGCTAAATAAAATAGTTATTTATATAGAAACAGAATATCAATATAGTATTGTATTTAACCAGTTATACTTATGGATTTTAATAATTAAGATAAAACTTTTATAAAAAGACTATAATCCATCTAATAATCAAGTATACCTTAATTATTTTTATATTATTAAATAATGTAAATATAAAAAAGAAAACAAAATACTTAAGTAAACCTTGATTCTAATTATGATTTTGGATGGCTTTTAAATTTTACCGATGCATTTTCAAAGTTTGATTTGTAATAATCAAATATGAAATAATTACCAAAAGCTCTTGTGTAAAATGACTTTCTACTACAATCTGAGATTTATACATATAATTTAGAATAAGAAAAGTTTATGCTATAAAAAATGGAATTATATCCAAATATGATTATATAAGATAAATAGTTTTTAATACTATCTACATGTTCAATACAGAAGACAAGAATTGAATATCGTGAATTTAATGCTTAAGGTTTAAAATTGAGTAACCAACTTGGATAAACTTATTTGTTTTTTACTACATCAAAAGATTTAACAAATGTAAAGAATTTAAGTACATTTAGTGGACTAAATATACAAAGAAATTCTGTAAATTGTCCAATTTTTTATAAAAATATACAATAAAAGAGAAAACTAATGTGCCTAATGTATTTGCTTGTGTTAAAAATAAGAATAATTCTGTTTATACAGTCAATATTTTTAGATTATAAGACTTTGACAAAAATCCATCACTTTATGAATAATTGATGAATGAAGTGAACATTTTAATGAGTTTAAAACACCCTTGTTTACTTAAATATTGTTCTCTATATGAAGACTAACAACATTTATATATATTATATGATTATTGGGTAGGAGATCCTTTATTTAAATTACTTGAATAGGGTTTAGTCTTGAATTCTATTTAAATATCTAAAATAGTGTATTAATTGATCAAATTTGTGAAATTTTTACATAAATAAAATTTATATCATGCACAAATAACACCTCAAAATATTATACTTTTAAGAAATGTTTCTTTAGATAAATTACAAATAGTATTAATTAATTTTGCATATAGAGAAGAGATAGGAGTAGTTTAATTAATAAAAAAACTACCTAAATAATGGATACCTCCAGAAATGCAATTATATGATATAAGGTTTCCACAAAAAATTGATTAATATTAGATAGGTTGCACTTTGTTTTATCTTTGTGTATATAAACCTCGAATTAAAGGGAGTTGTTAATCATTTAATAAATCAATAGAAAATCTCGATATATCCTTTCTAAGATTGAGATAGGAATCTGCTTTATCAGAGAAATCCATTTTAAGTTTATCTTAGATTGATTTACTACAATATTTATTATAACCAGATCCACTTAAAAGAAAAGATCTGTCAGATTTGAGTAATCATCATTGGTTTGTTAATGAAAAAGCAAAATTTAAATAGATTGGAAAATAAAAACTTTTACCTAGTTTAAGAACCATATTAGAAATTAGAGAATAAAGTTCTATGGAAGTTAAATTAAACAAACTTAATTAAAGATAGAGTATTACAAGTATAGAATCAGATGATGATGTCGACATAAGCTTATTAGATCTTAATTGTCCAGAAGATAATTAATTAACTGATTTTATATCAATTCTTAACTCGTAGAATTTAACTGTTCATAAATGCTGAAATTCAATTTCTTTAAATTTAAATTAATTTATATATATATATATATATTTATATATAAATCTTCATTTTTTAGTATTTATACAATTCTATCTTTTCTTTGTTTTTTGATTACTAACAGATGTATTTCTAAATGATTGTTTTTATTTATTTTTTGTTGAATTGCTTTAATTTAAATAAGGATTGTTTTAACTTGCTTTTGCATTTCCTTATTATTATGATTAACTTAGTAATATATTTAAATGATCTTTATAACATTGAGTACTTGAAAATGAAGATCCCTTTTCAACTTTATTTTTTGATTAATTTACACTATTTTATAAAGAATTTTATTAAAATAAATTTTCTGATTTCAATTATTTTAAATAGAAATTCGAATTTATCTCTTTTGGTTCTGCTTATAAATAATATGGCTGATTATCATCTTAAGGATCTAACAATTACTCTTTTGATAAATATAAATTGCTTTTTTAACTTAATAAAAATGATCTGAATAATTATTATAAATATATACCTGCTATCATTTTATTATTAATTTTACTATTTTATATCCATAATTGATGGATGAATACTAAAATCTCTAATTTTCTAATTTTTAATTTCCTACAGCTTGTTTTTGCTTCCAGAATTAAAATCTTTATCAAATTCACTTTAAGTTCTATGTAAAATTTCTGATTAAAAATCTGCTAAAGATAATAAATCAATATCTTAATGATTATTGTTATTTTAAGGAGATAAATATTAAAATTAATATTGAAATAATCCAAGGTTCTTTTTTTTAGATTTTGTCTAAACAGAAGCATTTACAGTATCAAATTAAGTTTATATACTTTATTTTTCAACTGTTTCCTGTAATTTTTACTTTGGTTAAGTAAAACTAGTTTACATTTCCATATCTTTTACCACTTTTGGTGATACTATTACTAAAGATTTATCAGTTAGTAATTCACTATAGAGTTGTGCATTTTATTATGGTGATTTAGTACTTAATTTAGTTGGACAATGTTCTTCCTCTTCAGTTTATTCAACAATAGTTTTTTTTAAAATAGCATCTTTTTGACATTATTTCAAAAATTATGGGTATATATCTAAGATAATTTCTTCATAATCATTATTTGAATCTTTTTTTTTAATAACTTACTCTTCTGAAGCTAAATTATAGAAATTTTCCTTTGATTAGTTTTTAATAGAATTTTATCGAGAGTGAGCTTGACTTTTTGGAGCATTTTTTGTTATTATTTATTATTAATGTTTTTATAACATTTATTATTTTAGATCTGAATTTTGATGTTGATTTATTGAATAGCTTGATTATAATATATCTTTTTTATAATTGAATTATGAAATATTTGTGTTACCATATATTGTATTTGATGGAGATTATTAATCAAAAGTAGTTTGATCAGATGAATTAATTTTCAACAATTTTAATTAGAAAGCATCAATCTTTTCTGTAATTGTGCTTATTTCCATTTTAGGTTACATATTAATGATTTAATCATTCAATATCTATTTTTAATATATGTTATTCCTACTACAAATTCCATGAGTGGAGTCTTAAAGTTTAATAGATTCGTTGAATAACTTTCTCTCATGCGATAAAGGAACAAATGATTATGTTCTTTCTGGAGTTTATAAATAGGACTATTTATTATTTCTTTAATGTATTGATAATAAATGAAGTATTTTTTAGACTTTATCTTTTGGAGTTGATATTTGTAATGCATCTTTATTTTCTGAAGATTATCTACTCTTTCCAACACTAACATTAAGTTTTCCTGGTTTTTAAACTTATCTTAACTTTTAATGGATTCTTTTTAATGGACTCGATCTAGTTGTACTCTTTGATCTAACAAATTTCAACTGATTCATAAAAATTTATTTATAAACAAAAAACTATGAAAAATGCTGAATAGTTTTATTATATAATTAAAAAATGGAATAGTAACATAAAGGTACAATTATTTGTTGTATTTATAGGAAATACTGAACCTGGAGAGATGAATTCAAATTGTTAATAATTATTTAGCACAAACACTCTTTTTTTAAATAATATAGGATTGAGTACAAACATTTCATCTAGTACATTGAGACACACATCACCATAAATATCTTTTGGTAAGGCAAATAGATTTCATACTTAATCTTAATTATAATTACCAACAAAATTGGAATTACCTTCATAATTAGGAAAGAGGTTATAAATATATTGATTACATAATAGATACACATAATAAGGGTTTGGTAATAAGATAATATTTTAATATGAATGGTAAAAGGCTAATGCAAAGGAATTACCTAGTCCAGATCGTTATTAAGTTCGTTAAGAGCCAGGAAATGATAAATTAAAGAAATCTTTTGGTTTATCATGGGAAGCTTACTCAAAAACATATTTACCTTATAATAAACATTAATCACCTGAAGTTGCTAGATATTTACCAGGTAAATTTATATATATATATATAAAAAGGACCTGGAGAATATACTGTGCGTTAGGATTTAGGTTAACATAGATATTAATTTTAATTAAAAGGAAAAGGTAAAATGTTCAATGATCAAAGAGAGAATGGAGTACCTGGACCTGAAGCATATTAACCTTAAATATGTTTGACAGTTCCAAATCGATTTTCTGTAAATTTAATTCTAAACTTTAGAAAATCTCATAAGGAATTGGTGAAAAGAAGAATCCATTTAAATCTTTTAGTTTTGCTCCAGGACCAGGAAGATATGAGACTAATTCTGCTTTTGATAAAGTTAGCAAAAAAAGAGAATTTATCACTAAACCAGGAGAAAGAAGACCTTTTATATGAATTTTATAATTATTTAATGATTAAATCACTTTAAGTTGATGAAGAATAAAAGAAACTATAAAATAATAGTAATGGTCAAGTAGATTAAATCAAAAGTACATTTATTATAAATCTATATAGGTCCTGTATCGAATTAATAAAGATTAGATAGTGGTTAAGATGTTCCAATTTAAAAAAGAACACCTTCAGCTTCTCCTTTATTAAAAAACAATAAACCTTTATTAGAGCCAAATTTAGATGAACCAGTTAATCCTGCTGTCACTCCTTTTTAATAATCTTCAAAGAAAATACAATTTACAGGTGTTAGATCAGAATAATAAATAACAAAATCTCCAGCAGAAAGAATACCTTATGAAAAATACCATAGAAATGGTAATGTTAGTTTACAATAATTGAATCTACCTAAATTACCTGGATATAAATTAGAATTTGGTCCTATGTTTTTAATTATTATGGGATTATCATTTCCATTTGGGATACTTATAGCTTATATTAGTAGTGAATTTGATTCAGGAACATTTACATTTGTTAATTGTTGGCTTTTGATTGGATTGTTTACATTATCATTAATTCAACAATTATATACTCATAAAAATGGATTATGCAATTATATATTATCTAAGACAGAATTAGATTTCTGGAATGAACCTAAATTTATTAAAATTATGTGGGGTATTCGAATAGTATTATTAATTGTAAATTTATGTTTAACAATTTATTATGGTTATTCAGTTTGGAATGATAACATTAGTGATTCAATAATATCAATATTTGTATTTTTAACAATCCTTACTTTTTGCAATATGATTTTTATTATTTTTATCTTTTATGTAATTATTCATTTTATTATTAAGGCAATTATTCCAGTAAGTAATAAATAATTAGTTGTCATTAAAGAAAGAGTAGATAGAATTCAAAGAATGCAAGAAAATATTTAAATCCCACTTTCATTTTAATTTTGCAATCAACTTCTTGGAGTATTTCAACATGGTTCTGAAGGCAATATTTATTAAAGTACTATAGCATCTCAAAATTATTAAAAATTTGTGAATGAAGTGGAAGAAAGATAAAGAGAACTTTTAGCTGTAGCTAGATCTAGAAATGATAAATTAACTCATGATGCTTGTGATTTTGTGAATAAATTGACTAAACAATTAAAAGAAAAGAAAGATAATTAAATGAACATTTAAAGAGTTAGCAATCCTGGTATTGCTCCTTTCGATATATTAGTTAATTATCTTTCTTTCTTTTTCCTTTATTGTATAGGATTTCCTATTTTTCTTTATTTTGCCATGGCATATTAAGAAGTTAAATCTAATTATTTGCCTATACTATTCTTTCTTTATCCTTTATCCTTATATGTTTGGAAGAAATTTACTTTAAGTTTCTTTACTATGAAATAATATGTAGATTATAATTATGAATCTAAAATTGTAATTTTAGGTGTTACAGGATATAGAATAGGAACTATGTCAGTTTAAAGATTGGGTGTTGGATTTTTTATAGAATTTCTATTGATCAAATTTGCATGTAAAATACTGTATTATTGGATTTTTGTATTTGGATATTATTTTAATTTGGAGTAAAGAAAATAAATGTTCATGAATTATATTAGAGGTAGTGTTGTTGATAATTCCCAATAAAAAAATAAATTGGAAACTAAGAAAACCACTTTAATATAATCTGCAACATAAGTTAAGGATAAGAGATAATCTCTTTATGAAGCATAAGAATAAGAAACACCTTCATTTTCTAAAACTGCTGCTAATTGGATTCATGTTGATAATATTGAAAACATTAAAAAAGCTTTGGTTACAAAATAAATATTCGGTTTTGTATTATAAGAAGCATTTGAAATTGTTATAGCCCTATTATTTATTATATTGAGTTAAATTTTATATAATGAAAAACAATAAATTTAAAAATGGTCTACATTTGATGTTAACAGTGATGAACATCAAACATTTTAATTGGAAATAGGATTAGAAATACTTATTGAGTTTGCTTTTTGTATTATTACAATCAGCTTTTATGTAAAATAATTAAAGTAAAATATTTTATTAATTTTTTAAGAATTCCAAGTACATACAGTTTTTTTTAATAAATCTAACATATAATTGGGAATGATGGATTGAAATCATTAATTTATGACTATTGTTTTGCGATTGTCCTATGTTTTTTAATAGTTGGGAATAAATTTGAAATTAAATGATTATTAATATTATATATTATTATTTAATTATTTCATAATTTTTTTATGTATTGGACTTTCATTTCCAAGCGAGTACTCTAAGATTTAGAATCATTACCAAATTCTATTCCTGTCCATAAAACAATTAATAATTAAACATCGAAAATCAATCATTCATTTGAATTAGATTCAATAAAATACTATTCAGCAAGTAAAATAAGATGTTAATCAACTCATGAAATAAGTGAAAAAATGGTTACTTCAAAATATTAAAGATTTCATGATATATAAATAGAATTTCCAATGGTGAGAAAAAGAAGACTTGCGAATATTTTATCAAATCCAAATGATTACTGCTGTAATTTTTTAGAATCAACATTTTTTAGAGAGAACAAGGCCAGGAAAAAAGGCAACATTAGCAGGTACAATCTTGAAGAAATATAAAGATATTCGTTTATCTAATCCTAATAATGATAAAATATTGCAAAGTTCTTTTTATACGTATTAAATGAATCATCATTAGATAAGATATGATGGGCTCAAGAAGAAGTATCAACATGATTCAGAGTTAATAGAAACTTATGGATAGATAATGTTCTAATGGTAGTTCTTCACCTAAAATACCTACAACAATTAGTCCTATTACTCCTATTACTCCAACTACATCAAAATAATGTATTAAATTTTATTATTTAGAATAATAATATATAATTCGTTCTAAATTAGGATAATCTGTCGATCTAGAAAAAATTAAACCTCCTCGCTAATTATAGCCTTTGTCAGATATTTTAAGTTGTTCTCCTAGAGCTGCAACTAGACAAGAAGCTTTAAAAATTTCGCATCATAAAACAAATTCTTCTCATTCTACAAATTCATTATACATTATGAATAAAGTATATGGAAATGTGAAGAATAAAAATCTGCCTAAATCAATATTCAAAGTTAAATGAAATATGAGTTTAACTATATACATATCATATATCACTTTATTTTCTCTATCTATTATCTAAGTATTTTATTTCTCAATTCATATTCTAATAATTCATTATTTTTTGAAGAATTAGTTAATTTATCAACCTTTTGTGATTCATTCAAAACTAAAATAGGTTTCAATACTGATTTTGCAAATTCCAATCCTCTCTATCTTGCAGTTATTTATTTTGGTTAACTTTTAGGTATTTTTCTTTTAAATTGTCGATGTTCCAACTTTACCTAAATATATTCTTTTCTTTTTATACATGTTCTGCAAATTCAAACATCCTATCCATCTTATCTTTAGATTCTTCCCATTTCTCTAATGACAATGTTGGACCTAATCCTTAACCAATATTCTTTAATATTGGTTGTAATTTCAACAATTTATATTGACTTAAGGTGTAAGGCTTGTATTTTAAGTTTGATTATTTTATCTCTTATGAGAACAGATTTTTTGTTTAATTTTACTGTGTTTCTTATTGCTCTTTCAATTACTCAAATATTTATAATTACTCCTATTAATGACGTCGAATCATTTCATTCAATTCTCTTTACTAAATTAAATGCAATTCATGTAGCTTTTTTTTTTATTCTTCTGATAATCTAAACAAAATTTCATTTTAATTCGTATTCATTCTATTTTAATTTATAATCATTAAATGTAATTTTTTCTTATAATAAATTAAATTAATTTTTATCAATTTATTTTAGCAAAAATTATAATCTTATATTTGAGATTTACTTACAAGAAATAATTTAAACTAATAAAAACTATTAAGGTTAGAAAATAAAGAACTCTATAAATAATAAAAATCTTTTCTAGCTTTGAAAGAATTAAATTATCATACCTTCTCATATTTTTTTAATATCTTTCTTTATACTAAAATTTATAATAAATACTCTTAAAAAATTATTGTTGATTGATATATTTTATTGAATTTAATAATAATTTGAGCAATTTATGTATAATAATAGAGCAGATCTCTTTGGAATTTTTTTCCATATTTGCCAATTGCGACATTGATTTTATTAATAATTCTTTTATTTCTTTTGCATTAGCTTGGATTATTTTATCATAATATTCTTAACTGCATTTAAAATAAATTTTCTTTTAATTATATTGTTTAAAAACTTGCAAAAATTTATTCCTATTCAAAGATCATTTAAATGTCAATAAATTATTCACAAATCCATTAATCTTCATTTTATCATATATAATTGATTCATTCATAGTTATCAGCTTCAATTTTGTATTTCATATTTCTTACTATGTTATCATTTTAAATTTTATTCAAGAACATATTAAAAAAATTAGATTATAATATATTCTAAATGATTAGTTATTTAAATTTTAATCATAATTAAATTTATTCTGTTGGTTTTAAGGTTCCTCTTTTTCTGGTTGTTGTGACAGTTGTGGTTGATTACTAATATTTATTATGTAATTAACTTAAACATCGCTATTCCTTAAAGATTAGTTTTATTTCAATTATTCTAATTCATTTGAATACTCTTTAAATCTATTTTATGTTACTTCATTTTATTTTAAAAGATTTAGATATTTATTTTTCCATGTTTCAACTTCTGAAGACAAAGATATAGTTTAGTTTGACATTTAAGATTATTCTTCAAGTTCTATTATTGTTTTATTTAAATCTCTAATATATAATTCAAGCTTACTTAATTTTATTGAGTCGTTATTGATTAAATTAAATTTCTTTTTCACATTTTTCCTTGCATTCTTTTAATTTCCTTTCTTTTTCAGCAATTTCTTTATAAACATCAGATTGATCATTAGCGGATTTATATTTTTCAGATTCATCTTTGTTTTTTGTTGTTATATCTTCTAATAATTTGGAGTGATCAAGTATAAGTTAATTCATTTAATTCATATTTTGTATTTAATTTTAGATGTTTTTTCCTTATGAAGTTGCTATTTAATCTAACTATTGACAACATTCATGTTATTTTTATTTACTGTAAGTAGTTCCAATCATAATCAAGGATGATTTATTTTTTTTAGATTCAGGTTATTACCAATTTAAATAACTAACACTTGGTTAAATAAGAATGGGAATTATAAGTTTATTTGAACTGGCTGAATTAGATTATTCTACTCTTGTTAACTAATTTACTTAATTTGTTTCTGACTCTTACATAAATAAATATTATTAATTATTAATTAGATGTTAATAATATTTTTGAATTTTTTAGTATTTATCAATCTTGATGTTAATATGCGAGAATATCTTTAAAAATGTTTTATATGAAAACAGATAAATTATAATTGTTTCTTTAATGTTAGAGGATCAGTTTAATAAAGTATTAAATGTCCTTATAATTAAAATGTAATATAATAGGATATTATGAAATTATCATTGTTGAGGAACTTCTTTTGCTATTGTTTTTCTCCTAGTGGTAGTCTAAATTAATTAATTAATAATATTACTCTAACTTCACTCTTTTTCTATTGTTATTTGAGCATATCTATTTCATTTTCAAGAACAACCACTTATTATTCAGCTTCATTGAATTGTTTATTCAATGTAATAAATTTATTTTTCCATTAATTTTTTTCATCTTCTAAATTTGTTGTACTAGTTGTAACAACAACCTATGATGATAATCCTTTCAATTATTTTTCAAGTTCGCTAATAAATAAATCTATAATAAATACCTTATTTCTTCCTCTTTTTCATCTCCATTTTTTTTCTCCTTATTAAATTTTTCTTCCCAATCTTAAATCTATTTATCTCTTTCTCTAAGTAATCGATTATTTTCAAGAATTTATTATTCTTTTAATTATTATGTCTTAGCATCTTCTAATCCTTAATTATATGAATCAATTAATAATTTAGAATGTTGTTATATCAATAGATTTAATTCACTTAGTTTATTCATTTGTTCATTGATAATTAATTGCTAAACTTATAAGATTTTCTTACATATTACTTGCTTAATTCATCTAATTTATCACAACATAAATGTTCTTTTACTGTTGAAGGTTCAGGACTTATTTATGAGGATTAAGCCGATTTTATTGATGGAATCATTAAAGAATTAGGTTATCTATCTCGTGTTAATAATCCTTTTTCAGTTTATAATTATTAAGCATCAAATGCTCCATTAACATCTTTATTAGCTAACTCCCACTTTAAATATCCTTTATGTCTACTATATTTAGAATTCTAGAATAATGATAAGGATTGTACCGTAGAAGGACTTTCAAAATTACTCATAACAATAATTTTATATTATTATAATAGTATCAAATATTTCTTAAAGTAAGAGTACCATATTAAAAGGAAGAAAGTGATGAGTTTTCTTTCATTGTTTCATAGGATTCCAACTATTTCAATTATAATATATTTTACTTTAAATGAATTTTATCTTTATTTCTTTAATGTATCCAATTCAGCATTTGATAACATTAACTATTCTTATTATTTATGATATTCTCTATTAAGATTTATGAATTGATTTTTCCAAGAATCTATTTCTTAACTCATAATTGTAATCTTGTCACTATATTATTGAATTTCATGTTAAGTCAATAATTTTTATTTTTATTAATCGTTTTCTTCTTACAAAAATCTAATTTATTATTTATTTTATTCATTCTCTTAGAGTTTCATTTTAAGCAAATTACTTAATCTTTCTATTTCATTTTAATAAGCAAGATTCTTTTGTTCTAATTCTTATATTTTATTAGCCTCTTACAATTGAAATTATGCTAAGTATTATCTTAACTTTTCCATTTCTTCATTTTTATTTCTTAATTAAACTGACAATCTTTCCATCTCTACATTTAATAATTAAAATTTCTATTAATAATCTTTTAATTGTGAATTCTCCTAAACTTTATATTTCAGATTATCAATCTCTTCATTTCTTGTTCTTAATAAAGAAGAAACCCTATTAATTTCATAAGATTATTTCTCTAAATCTTCACACTTTGATTATAAGCTTTAATGAAGTCGATCTATTTCTTAATTTTATAATGCTATTTTATTTTCATATTCTTCTATCTTGTAATGATCATTTAAAGTAATTTATAATTTAGATATGCAATTTCTCAATTAATCATTCTCTTATAATTTAATCATTAGAGAATTATTTAGTCTATCATATTCTTAAGCTAAATTTTGATATTTCATTTCATATTCTGAATATTTTTATAATTCTTATATTTAATTTTGAAATATCAAAATTTATTGTTTATATTTATCTGCCTCTTCTGATTTCATTCTGATACGCTAATTGAGATTATTAATTTCTTCATTTTACATTTTTGATCTCATTTAATATTCTTGATATTTAGATGTATCTTATAATGTAAGTTATAGAGTTTAAATAATTGATTATAGTTTTTAGATTTCATCATTTTTGTTTCTAATTTCATTCATAAACTTTTCAGTAATCTAATTATTTTCCTTACTCAATTCATCAATAGATTATTTTTAATTGTTTTCTCGAATTCTTAATTCTTTAAGTTCATACTCAGAATCTTTAATTCTTTTAGATAAGATTTCAATTTCCTTAATATATGTTTACTTTTATTGATCATATTCTTCAGCCTTTACTTTTAGAATTTAAGTAATTCTTTCCAATTCTAAAGCTAATTAGGTTTAAATAGGTTATTGTTAATGATACATTTGTTCATATTTTTTAGTTTCCATCAATGTTTTTTAAAGTTAATGTAATTATGATTGACTTTAAGACACTAAAACATTTAATCTTTATATTTCATTTTACCAATACTAATCAGTATCTTAACAATTTCTTTTTAGTCTATCGAATTCGATTTATTATTATTGAAACTAAAATAATTATTGAGATAACAAGATATTTTTTTATTTTAATTATTCTGATTCATTCGAAATATCTCCTAATAAATTATTCATTCTATTGCATTCTTATTGATATTATTATAAATTGGTTTCAAGTTATTAGATTCTATGAGTATCTTCAATGTAAGTAACTCTTTCTTAATTAGTTGATTTGATTCGATGTAATTCATTCTAAAGTTCTTAGATTTATTTGTCCTAAAAAGAACATTTATTTCTAAAGAAGATTAATTCATCTGGTTCAAGAATTTTAACAATTTCTTTAACATTGTTATAAGATGGTTTAATAATTGGTGGTTAAGAATCTAATCTAATTGTAGGTTGAGATTATTATTAAGTTCTAGGAGGAATGTAAAGAATATTTGGACTTGTCAATAAATCATTAGTATTTGACCTAGTTCTTTAAGATTTGTTAGCATCTTTGTTTGGTTCAATGAATTGTTATGTTGAAAAGTATTAAGTATGTTATTAATCCATGTATTCGTTAAATATATTTATTGATAAATTAATTATACGAATAAATAAAGCTAATATTGTATCATGCTATTTATTTTTTATATGCTGTTAATTCTTCTCTATTCTATTTAAATATATATTTAATGTATTAATTACTCCACAAAAATGCAAAATCAAATAAAAACCACCTGTTAAAAAAAGCATAGCTCCAATAATGAATCCAATGATGTCACTAGTTGCATTAGATAATTAATAAACTGCTAAAGATGCTAGACTTAATAATGATATTTTAGAATACTAAATATTGAATAGACCTCTTCCTAAAAGAGAACTTAAAAATCTGAAATTATTATCCATGAATTCCATTTTTTAACCACTTGCAAAAAGCATGATTCCAAATAATCTATTATCTATAATAAATTAATTTACATTAAGAAAAATGGTAAGAAAAAGGACATGAAGAATGAAAAACTAAAACTGGAAAAGAGAATGGTCAAAGATATAATTTAAGTAACTCCAATCAATATAAGCATGATTGAAGAAATTAAATTTGACCATTTAAGCAATTCAATAGTAGATGGCATAAAATAATGTATAATTAATAATATAAATCTATATATATTCTTTTATGTATAAATTAATTGTTATTTTGTGATAATCATGATTATTAAGGTTTATTTTCTCCCATATCTCCTGCACTTCTATTAGCTTTATGTCTAGATTCATAGTAACCAAACTCTGAAGGTAATCTATAACTACCAGGAGCAGGTGTACCAGCTTTAATAATATATATTTGATATAATTACCTTTTCCCACAGATCCAGTTCTTCTAGATTCTTTTGGAAAGCTTCTAACATTGGAAGAATGAAATTTAGAAATAAAGTAATTACCATCCTATAATATAAGATTTTAAATTACTTTTTGAATTCCAGTCTTATCAACAGGATAAGTACCTGGTCCTGGAGCTTATAGATTAGTAGCTTTTTAAATATTGTATAATAGATTTACAAAAATCTTTAACAAATCGTTTAGAATTCTTAGGATTAAATAATGTTGCACATGAATTATTATATTTCGATATAGGATATTTACCTACAGCATTAACAGCAGGTAAAGATTCATAAGTTCCAGGTCCTGGTATTTCTTTACTTGTTAAAACCATAAAATTTGTTTTAGGTCTCTATCTCATTGTATATCGAATATCACTTAAAGTAGATCCTAAATCATATGTTCCAGGAGCTAAATGATTATTTTTATTATTATTATACCTGGAGTTTTTAAATTTAAGTTTCCAAGTATCCCAGTACTTGCCATTTTTTCTCTACTCATACCAAATTTATTTCCCTTTGATTTTTTAAGATTAGTTTCAACATCACTTGCTAAATTATATTATTATGGTGATGGTGTTGCAAATGGTACTTTTGTAAAATCAGTTCTTAAATACAATAGTAATATACTTTGTTCCTTTTCCTATACCTGCTGATCGTTTTTCTATTTGACTAGGCAAGTCGTAAAATGCCTTACCACAACTATAATGATTAGATCAATCATGAATACTTGACTGGATTAGCCAGATTACCAAATCTATCAGATTTAGAAAATGTCCATAAGTTCTTAGCTGTACTATGATTAAGTGGAGAACCACATATTTATTAGCATGTTGAAACAGTTATTGACATAATAAATTAATTAATATAAATAAATAATTCAGAATTCTTTACTTTTATGTGTTTAAATCATAACTTCTTTTAAATATACATATAAACATCCTGCCTTTTTTAGATTATTCAAATATCATTTACTCATATCTTTATACTATTTCTCTTCAATTTCCATCAAATTTTGTATATATACTTCTTATATTTTTGTTGAAGTTGAATAATTAAAATGAGCTCCACTACTTTATATTAGCTTAAGATCAATTATTATTTCACTGATGTCATTCTATCTTGTTAATATGTTCAACTAATGGATTTTCTCTAAATCGATTCAATATCAACTATTTTCTAAATCATCGAAATTCTTCATAGAATCTACTTTTCTCTTAAGTTTTTAATTTAATTAAGAATAGTATAAAAATCCTAATAATTTTAAATCTTGTTTATTATAGCAATTCAAATCATATATTTCGAAATTATGATAAATAAATACCCATTGAAAAAAAATAAAGATCCACTTATTTTTGAAATTCTGGAGGCATATCCCTGAAATTCTAATCGATTTTTATGTTTATCAAAAGTTAAGAAGTCAAGAAAAATTAATTAAGGAATTTATATCTTTATATAACAAATGAAGGATAGTTTAAGAGATGTGTATAAATTAGATTTGCTTCAAACATGAATAGATTTTCATGCCACTGTATAATGGAATTTAATCAATATTCATTTTCTCGAGATAATGCGATTTCTTTTAGGAGATATAATGTGACTGATCAAGGGTCACTTTAGTAGTATAATATCAAAAAGAAAGTGTTTATTTATTTGAGGATCGGCTAGGATTTAACTTTTGTTAGGAAATGCAAAAATAAATAGTAATAAATGAATAGAAAGAAATATTTGGTTGATCAAATTTATAGTTTTTATAATTTATTATTTAATTTCTATTCTATATTATTTACTTACTAATACTAAATATTTTTTTTAATTAAATTTCTAATTAAAATGAATAGACAACATAAATTAGACAATTAATTGAAGTAGAATGCTATTAATCGATTACCTATACAAATGTTTTGGTATACTATGTAAAAATAGATTAAGATTCTTTTTAGGAGGAAATAGTTCTATATTTTTTAATTGAAGGGTATTAATATGAAATTTTTGATGCATATCTTTTTTGTCGGAGTTTTATTAAATGAAAATTAAGACTCTAAAATATATAGATATAAAAATTAAAATAATTTAATTATGACTACAAACATAAGTTGCCTTAACTTCTATAAAGGAAAATCTTTATTAATATCTGGTTGTACAGGCTTTGTAGCCAAAGTTATTTTAGAAAAAGTTTTAAGAGTCTTCGAAGTTAAAAGAGTTTACGTTTTAGTGAGAGGAAAGAAAGGTCAATCTGTCACTGAAAGATTTAATAAAGAGATTATCAATTCTTAATGTTTTGACAGGATCCGTAAACAAAAAGGAGCAGATTTCTCAAAATTTATTGAGGATGTTGTGAAACCTATTGATGGAGATTTAATTAAACCTCATTTAGGACTTAATAAAGAAGTTACTTAAGAGCTCATAGAAAATGTCAATATAATCATAAATAGTGCTGCCAGTGTTGATTTTAATTCCCCTATAAAAGTTGCTTTAGAAATCAATTATTATGGAGTGTAAAAAGTATTAGAGTTAGCTAAGTAATGTAAATATTTAGAAAATTTCATCCATGTATCCACTGCCTATGTTAATAGTGATAAATTTGGGTAAAAATTATTCTTGACTTTAAAAGCTTCATAGAAGAAAAGATCTATCATCCATAAAAAGATGTTGAATCCTTTGTTTCTATGCTTTATAGATCATGTTAAAATTTTGATGAGAAATAATAAAAATTAACCTTAGACAAATTTCCAAATACATATACTTTCACAAAGAACTTGGCAGAATAAATGTTAGCATAATTGAGACCTCCAAATATGTAAATTACTATAGTAAGACCAACTATTGTAGGGTGTTCATTTAGAGATCCTATCCCTGGTTGGGTAATATCGATTGTTATAAAAGATTGATAACTTGGTTGGAGGTGCAGCTGTGATTTTTTTTGCAGGGATTGGATTAGTAAAAATATATAAAGGAAAGGGAAATTTAATTACAGATTAAGTTCCTGTTGATTTTGTATCTGATATGATTTTGGTAGCAGGAGCTTATGAAGCAAATAAAAATAATTTCTAAATTTATCATTGTGGTACTAGTGCTAGAAATCCTGCTCCATGGAAACTAACTAGAGATACATGTGTTGAATATTGGAATGCTAATCCACCTAGTGTGAAGGTTTCACCATGTACTATTGAAATTAATTATAATCTGTGTTACTATCGATACATGAATTTCAAAAGAAAAATGGGAGCATTAGCGTTAAAAACTTTTGCAGATACATTTGGTAATTAAACTTAAAAAAAAAATGCTAATCGTTATGTGAAAGTAATCGATAAAGCTGATACAATTAATAAAACATTTAAACATTTCAATAGAAATGAATGGGTATTTTCTTAAGAAAATGTTTTACAATTAATGAATTGTTTATCAAGAGATGAATAGGGAATCTTTTTATTAGATGTGACTGAGATGGAATGGAGGTATTAATTTATTTCCAAACTCTTAGATCTTATATGATGACTTTCCATTATGGATTATAGAAATTTATTTTAAAAGAAAATGTTTAACCACCTGTAGAGGAAGAACCAACTGATTTATTAAGATCTTGGAAGAGTGGAAACTTCACTGATTTAAAATGGATTGTAGAAAAGTAAAAACTTCCTGTGGAAAATAAAAATTATACAATGAATGGTTTATTCAATAGATAGAGAGCTAAATTATGAGATGATCAAAAATAAATATATTTCGTATAAAATATAATTAATATTTAAATTTCATTTTAATGAATCCATATGAAAAAATCAAATAAGAATTAGATGTTAGGATGTTAAATCAAAGAGCAAACATACTTAAGGTCTTAAATGGATAATAGAAGATTTATTAAGGAAAAGAAACTATTGCCGCATATACGTAATTTTTCATTTTTTATATTAGAGACATTTACAATTTTATAGTTCAAGGCGAAGAAGAGGGAAGGAGAATGTACGAGCTTTTCAAAAATTACAATGAAGCATTTCTAAAATAATCAGAAGAAATTGCCAGAAAGACTTATGGCACTGAAAATTTTTTAGAAGAAACTCTGAGCCAATATTAAATATATGAATACCACACTAGAATTCTTAAAAGTTATTTTGCGTATTTAGATCGTTCATTTGTTATAGTTTCAAATAACCATAATTAATATCCACATTTGTAATAACAAGCAAAAGAATAATATTATCTATTATTTTATAGCAAATTGTTTTCTTACATAAAAGAAGAATTCAAAACTAAATTAAAATAAGATCGAATTCAATTTGACAAAGAAATACAATTACAATTACAAAGAGTCTATAAAATCATTTATGAAATGAAATCTATTTCTTAGGATAAAGATAATAGAGAAAAAATTCAAAATGAAATAAAAGAGGATAGTAAAAATTATTATCAGAATTAATATAATTATTTCAAATAACAATCAATTTTAGATTAAATAAAATTACTCATCAAATTGAAAGATGAAGAACTAAGTAGAATTAAACTAATATTTGGATGCGAACAAAACGATCTTTAAAAAGATTTGATAGATTTGTTTAATTAAAATATCATCAATAATTATGCGTTGGATTTACATTAAGATAATAATGACACTTTAAAGAACATTATATTTTAAGATTGTTATAAAGTATAATCTTATTTATATTATAGTAATTTGGTTAATTAGTTTAGTTTTTCGATAATTTTAAAAGCAATACACATATTTTTGTTAAGAAATTTTAAGACATTATAATTTAATAAGGGAAGGAAATCATTTAAGAACGATAAATTGGAATTACCCAATCTCAAAAGAAGTAAGAAAAAGAAGAACAAGTAATATTGAATTAAATTTAGTAAAATAAATTTTTGGATGAATTGATTTTTTTATAATAGTCTTATAAGAAACTAATCTAAAATTATGGTGAAAATAATTAGTTTTTGCTTGTGAATTTGCGTTCAGCTTTTGAAAATATAACAGCAAATGCTGATTAATACATTATAATGGAATCACTATTATAAAGAATTCATAAGTTTACTGTTAAAAGAATAGATATTGAGGAAGAAAAACAATTAAGTTAAGTTATGCAAATTTTAGAATGTTTTTAGGCAAAGGATTTGTTTATAAAAAACTATTAAAATAAATTAGCTTAAAGAATATTTACTATATTTGATTATCATTCAGATATTGATAAATAAATTATAGATTAATTTCGTAAGACTTTTGGTCCAGAGCATACAAAATATTTAGAGTTCATGATTAAAGATTATGAATAATCCTTAAATGAAAAAATAATAACAATAAGTGATATTGAAATTTAAGCTAAAATTTTATAAAAAGAATATTGGCCTGAAATAAAACCATATGTGAACCTTGATAAGATATTGATTTTAAATTAATTAAAATCTGCATATAGATAGAAATTTAATTCTTAATAAGAAAAGAATCAACTGTATGATATTTAAAATACTTTTACATAGAGTTGATCTTAATTGGCAAGACCAGCTTTCAATGATAGAAGTGTAATTCAAAACAAATTTAGAGTATAGAATTATACTTGGAGTTGTGAGTGGTGCAATATTGTTACAATTTAATGAGAAAAATCTTCCTTTAACAATTGAATAACTTTAAGTAATTATTAAATCTAAAAAAAGGAAAAAATTGAAGTAAATTAATAATATTTGTTAAATTAAATCAGATTATTAGAATAAAAAAAGCTAATAATAAAAGATGCCTAAGGTTTTAAGTTTAATGAAGAATTTTCAACACATAAGATAAGAATTAAATTAGGAATTATTTTAGATTAATATGTTGAATATAAATGTATGTAAAACAAATATATACTTAATAGAAGAGGATATTTAAAGTGATAGAAAGATTGCTATTCAGGCTGCTATAGTTCGAATAATGAAAGGAAAAAGAACTTTATCCTTTTAATAATTAAATCTATTGGTAAAAGAATAATTGAAAATGTTTAAACCACAAGATAAAGATATAAAAGAAGTCATAGAAATTTTAATGAATCAAGATTATTTGAAAAGAAATCCATAAAACATAAATGAGTTGATTTATGTTAGTTGAAGTTAATAGTCATACATAAATCAAAATATATTATTAACAAATTTGATTAAAATTTCTTTTTAACTATTTTAATGATGTAAGTTAAAAAAACAAAATTTATGTTCATCTTACTAGTTAATACTTATTGAGAATTCTAAGAAGACGAATTTTGTTCAGTTTTTTCCTCTTTGCTTAATTATCTTGTAAATTATAATTATAAATTTTGATGTTTCGAATCCATTCATATCAAGCATATCAATATGCATAAAAATAACATCATAAAATTAACATATTGTATTCGTTTTCCCTTTAACTTTTGATATCGCCTATGTATCATCATAGGCTGAATAACATTAAATTTTATAATGAGTTAATAAAGCTTTGAATGTTATTAAATTTAATAATTAATCATAGATTATTAAAACTCTTTTACAAAAATTAGTACATTCATGAATTTGTAAAGTTAAATATTTAAAAGAAAAAGTTTTATTTCCTTATATAGGGCTTTTTAGAAATTTAAATTAATAATAGTTTTATTGGGGAACTTTGAATTTTGATTTAAATCTTCTACAATCTTTGGACTATCATTTGAATTTTAATATTCTAATTTTTTGCAAATCCTTTCTAAATTAAAAGTGATTTCTTTAAGTATATAAATTTTCCTGTATTAAAGGGATCTCTTAAGAATATTTGTTCTTGAGATTTACTTAAATCCAAATCTTATATCCATATACTTATACTAGTTCCATTTTAAGAACAATTTATAATTTAAACATAATTATCAGTAGTTTCTATCAACCCTTATATTAATTTTGCAGATATTGGATATATTTTTTTATTTTTCAATCTAATTTTTGTGGTTAATTTTTTATAAAATCAGTAAGTTTATTAAATCTAATCTTCAAGTTATTATTTCGAACCATTAATAATGGAATCTAATTATTAATGAAAAATTAAGATAAAATAATACTTAATTTAAAATGTCTATCCTTTTAAAAAGTTAAATAGAAAAAAATTAATTTTAACCGAAAAAAAATTAAAGTTTTGCTATAGTAAATATAAAATTTATTCTTCTCCTTAACAAAGAAAGAGTTTTGAACATTTTTTATTCATTTATTTGAAGTAATTTACAATATTACTCCAAATGAAAATACTTTATGAGTTGAAAAAAATATTTAAATTGGACTCAGTTTTATTAATATCATTTGTCATTTTTTTTCTTAATTTATCACCCAACAATAACATATAATTAATTAGAAGATTATTTTTAAATATTTATTTACTGAAAATACTAATGTTATCTTTTTGATTATCATTTATAAACAAATGAATGGATAATAGTAAATTCTTATTTTTATATTAAACTTATTTTATTTAATTAATAAATTTATTATTGTTGGATGTTTAGATTCTTAAAGAGAGACTAACTTGTAAATAATGTTTTTTCATATCCCAATAAAGCAATTGCTATTTCAAATACAACTACGATACTCTCTAAAATATAATAGTCAAAGTTAATTAATAAAATTTAAAATAACCTTAAAATAATATAGTAAGGATAGCCAAACCGAGTAACAATTTCGTTATTGTATAAGTGTAATTTCCAAATAGATTTATTAGTTCAATTCAGTATAATCATAGTGTTTACTAAGAATCGTACAGTAATTTTGAGAAGTTGCTATTATTAGTAATTTTCTTGATTCAATTAATAAGCCTAATTATATATTTATGGCTGAAGCAGAAAGAGTTGTTGTAACAATATAATTATTCCATCCAAACATTATAGATAGTATTGATCACCATGTTCCTTTAGCACTTACCAATATTAAAATAATGTTAGTATTAATTATTTATAAATATAATATAATTACACTTTAAAAATAATAAATTATGTTCTTTACCATTTTACTGGATAGTAAATTTAGATAAAATTATTGAAAAAAAGTATTAACATATAATGTTCAATATAATCCTTTTTTTAAAGGGAAAATGCTTCTTAAAATTACCTCTAATTCTTTTTAATTAACAGGTTTTGGCAGAAACGAATTAATTCCTATTTTTGCTCCTTCAATAAAATTCTCTTATGTATCATAAGCAGAACAAATCACAATGAAAGATTACTTGCCTGTGATTTCTAAAATCTATGATAAAAAAAAGTAAATACCTTTTTACTAGTTTGAAATCCATTTAATCCTGGCATTTCAATATCCATAAAAATCAATTTGTAGAAAGAACAATGTTCTAACATTTTCTATTTAACCTTTTCTATAGCTTGAAATCCATCGAATGCTTAATCTGAATCAATTTAAAAATTCTATAACATTAATCTAAGGGTAATTTAATTAAATGGAATATCATCTACAATCAATACACTTCTACAAATTTAACAAAGATGAGGGTATTGTTTTATAGAAAATAATTCCTAATTTACTATTGTTTAACAAGATTAAATTTTTTTATGCGAAAAGTATTATGGACTTTTAGGTAATTCTATTTACTATTATTTACCAGGATCATTTAATTTAGGAGTTTCTTAAGATGATTCTGAATCTTATAAGTATTTATCTGGAAGTTAAATATCATAATCTATTTTAGAATTAGAAATGCTAGACTTTATTGGCATTTTATCATCATATTTTCTTTCACTTAAAGTCTATTACATTCCAGATTGATTAAATCTACCTGTTAATTAAGATAAGAGATTTGAAGATTAATATTAATCATTTTATGATTGTAAAAAGTTTTAAATCTAGAATTATACTTTTGTTCCTTTATTTTTTATTGAACTTATCATTAATTAATTATTATTTGATTCAATAAGTCCCTCTACAATCTTTGCAGCAATATTCAATCCTAATCCAGCTTTCTATGTAACTTACTATGTTTTTAATCTGGCACCAAATTCAACATTGCCAATCAAATTATTTTAAATCATTATTAATTTATCATCTTCAATTCCTATTCCATTATCTTTAACTTTTATATTTATATAAAATAGACTTTTTTATTTAATGCTTAATTTCACATAACCACCTTCTCTTGTATATTTGCAGGCATTGTTCAAAAGATTCACTAAAATTTATAATATTCTCTATTGATCATTACTTATTAATGAATCACTTAAATTTGGTTGTATTTTTACAGTAAATTCAATATGTTTTTAAATCATTTGTAATTTATACAAATTGTAAATCTCTTATGCAATGTTACCAAATGTAAAAGGTTTAATACGATATTGAAACTAAAATGATTGAATTGCTGCATAATCTAAAATATCATTAATTTAATGAACTAATAGAGACATTGAACATTAAGCAATATCTATATAATTTTAAATCTTTTTTTCAACAGATTAATTTTTTATTAAAGTTAGCATTTGTTAACAACTATTTAAAGGAGTTCGTAATTCATGAGAAAAAGATTTTATTAAACTATGATGTATTATTTACTCATTCTTCATTTTTTAGAATTAATGTTTACTTGTTATATTTTTTATCATTATTAATAATACAGGCATTTCTACATCATTTTAGAATTAAATATTAAGTTTACTTGGACATTTATGATGAGAAGGCATTGATATGTACTCTTGCTAGTTTCCAGTCATGAATGTTGGAATTAAAATTACTTTAAGTTTCTTTTATTTAACTTTCCTACTCTAACTAGACTCAAATAGCCATTCATATACAAACATTTATTATTAAAAAGTTAATTGTTCTGTTTTAGAATCATCTTAACTTCCTAATTAATCAAATTATCTCTATTCTAAAAAAGGAAAGTATTTTTAAGGCTAAAGCAGTATATCCAAAATATCAATTTACAAATTTTCCTTTTATAATTCTTTCACGATCCTAAATAATGCGTATTGATTTAATTATTTATTAAATCTAGGTGTTCTTAAATAATTTTAAATTTCATTATCATTTTCAGGCATTTTGGCACTATTTAAACATTATCTTATTTTATCTACTATTTATTCTGATCCTGAACATTCTAACAATTTTTCACATTAATTATTTGAGTAACTAACTTATTGATTTTAATTTAGTATGAGTACTCCTTAAGGAAAAGAGTTTATTAAATTTTGATAAAATTAATGGAATTATAATTCTGAAGCTCTATTATATAAAAATTAACTTTTCTATAATTTTTAATTTTATCCTAAATTTGAGAATTAAATTATCTTTGATTCATAGCTCATTTCCTTTAAAAAAATACTTTAACTTTTCAGTGGTGTTTATCCAATTGTTACTCGACTAAACGATTTGATTAAAGATTAATTTAATTATAGATGGTTAGCTGAATCATGATCATCTATTTTCTTTATTTATGATTCAATTATTGCATTATTAAACTATTTCTTACATTGACATTAGCATTAATAGTTAACTAATTAATTATTGTATGCTAAAGATAGAAATATCACCAAAAATACTATCAAACTTTCAATTAAATAAAAGTTAAACTCAGTAAATATTAAGATGATATTTCTAAATAAAATATAAGATGGGAATCCTATTTTGCAGATTTTGCTTGATTTATCTGATGATATAGATAAATATTGTTTAAAAGTTACAACAAATAATAGACAATTTGCATATATCCCAAAAGGATTATTGTACTTTAAAAATAAAAAAGTTTCTATGTACAATACAGAATAAAATAGTGAAACTAGATGTAAAATTGTTTATTTTTCACACCACTAATCAATTATGATCTATTATGAAATTCTGAAAATTGTGCATGTTATTTATAAAAATAGAGCTTCATAATTAGTCTAATCCATTATGTAGAAAGACAAAAATATCCACCACAAACCTTGTGAGATATTTGCTATCAAAATAGATTTTCCAGCTATACTTTTAAAAATTTTTTTCATCAATTCTCTTTTTTTTTTCATTTTATTTAATTAATAAAAAACTAAACTTGATGAAATAAGGTTATGAAAACTATTGTTTGATAAGTTGAGCTGCTCTAATTTTTACATTTAATTTCAAAATAAGGAAATAATCATATTTTAATACTTATTTTTACTACTTATTCTGTATACATTAAATTAAATAAATTAATCAATTATCAATTATATTAACGATCATAATGAGTTTTATTACTGGATATTTTTTTTTTCATTCTAATAATAAGCTATTTTTTCTTAAATTTTGGTTTTTTAATTAAAAAGTATAGGTTAAAATTTGAAATGAAAAAGATAATTTATTTTCTGATATTTGTCATTAGCAAATTTAAAAAATAATATTATATTATTTTAAAAAGGTGTGAAACAACTTAGTATATATCAGAGAAAACCAAATCTATCTAATTTCTTTCTAATTCTTTGTAATTGAGTTTAGGTAGGAACTCTGACATTCCTACTGCTTCTCCTTCCCTACAATTTTCTTCAGTATCAACTGCAGAACACATAATAATAATCTTTTTAAGCATCTAATTTAAGTGTTTTATTTTAAATACTTTAGTACATAATTAACATTTAGGAGTTTTTTATTTTTTTAATTAAATTTCTTCTTTATATAGAAAATATTCAGGACTTTAAGGTAAATCAATTCTAATTATCTATCGTATCTAAAGAACTTTCAGCTAAATTAATTGGAGGCAAATTATAAAATTTACTTTTTGTTGTTTTACTCTTTTAAGAAGGAGATTGAGCACCAAATTTTGAATTTTCAGACAATTACCGGTAAAACTTAACTACAATTGCTACCTTCATTTTAAGACATATTATTTATAAGTATTATTTTTAGTTTTGTATTCAGAAATCATAGGATTTCTAACAGATTCATCTCTACAAATTAAAAGATTTTCTATTTTGAAATATATTTTTGTTCCTTTATTTTTATTTTTTGAAATAATTTCTAATGTTCCATCATTTTTTTAAACACTTTTTTATTTTAGATTTATGTAGACTTTTGTCCACTGAACTAGTTAAAACTTTTCGTAAGTTTTATAATTAATTTGAACTTATTCCATTACCAGAATCTTTAACTTACAATTTAATAAAAGGATAATCTATTAATTTTGAAGAAAAAAAAATTTTGCCGCCTTCAGGTAGGTGTAAATTTACAGTGTTTGCTGGTATTCTGAATAATTTCGTTTCAATATGATCATTAGTGCTAAATTTATGATAAGTATAAATAATTCAGTAAAAATACAACTAAATATAGACTAAATCATTTAATAGAAATATCAAATATATTTAATAATTTCCTGAAATTTTCGAATTTTAATACAAATTTTAAAAATTATTTACCACACAATTACACATTTTCCTTATAGTGACTTAAGAGGATTCCAAATTGGGAAATTGAATAGTCATAATAAAACCAAAAAAAAAGAATCTAAAGAAAAAGAAGACTAAAATAAAATACAAAACAAGATAATCTTCAAAAAAATATAATAATTAATTTCATTAGCAGGAAATTCTACTCCAAAAAAACCAAGATCTCATTAATCAGAATAATATCTAAAAATTAATGAGAACAATTTCGATTATATGGACTTAAATTTAAAGAAGAATTTAAAGAAAAAATAATTTCAGAAGTAATTTTTAATATTTGGTTCCTTTTGAAATGAAAAAAAGGAATAAATAAATTCAATTATAAGCCTAAGAATCGTTATTAATCATAATCATTCTTGGTTGCCTCTTAGATATCTAAGTTCATTATGTTATTTAATATTTTTTGATTCATTTAATTAAACAATTAAATTAAAAATTGAAAAAAATTAATTTTATATAATCAATTCGAAATTGTGAAGAAACAAATTCTTTAAGGCCATAATCTTTTTGAAACTTATTTATAATCAATAATTTGCTTGACATTAATTTGTGGATTAAAGATCAAAGAGTAATTTTCGAAGTAGGAGAATTGAAAATCATTAAAATAAATAGGTTAAACTAATATGATATTTATATCACATTTTTTAAAAGTTCAGGATCAATTTTATTAAATAGTTTGTAAATGAAGAAATAAATTTAAATCTATTAATAAGAAAGTGAATTAAAAATGAAAATAAAGTTGAAAAGGACTTCTAACTAAATTAAATGAAGAAATAACTAAGATGATGAATCATTTACTTCATTATAATTTTTTGATGATTTAATATTATATTTACTTCTCTTATCATCTAGAATGCAACAGAATATCTACCATGAGAAAATTAAAGCTTTTCTTAAATTATAATTTATGATATTTATTGTCTTATTAATATTATTCAAATAAATCCTATTTTAGCAGTATCTTCAATATTGTTATTCCAATGACGATTTATTACATTTGCTGGAGAAGAATTAATGATATCTAAAAATTATCCAATTTCAGTTGGTCCTTAATCTAAAGGTGAGAATAATCCTTTGATATTTGTACTAACAATCATATCATAAATATAATTTCCACAAGCATGAATATGTGTTATAGTATAATTTTAATTTGACAAGTAACACACATATTTAGAGAATGCATTAAAATATGAGTCATTTAAATGAGGAATGAAATGACCTCCATTTATTTTTCTACAATCTCCTTCTTCTACCATTTCACAGTAATAATATTCTTCCTTATCTATTAAATTAATAATTACATTTAATACCTTAAGGTTTTAAAACAAACTATCTTGCAATCCATGTTCCTTAAGCTTACATATTTTATATTTTTAAAGATCTATTAAAATGTTCCATTAATATTTAACATAAGAAATTATTTTTAGATATTTCAATTGCTTCATCTAAATTTAAAAATTGTTAAGTTTATGAAATCAATTCTTTTCTTAAAAGATATTTATTTTTATATTCATTTTAAGCTGCCTCAATTATAATACTAAGATAACCTTTAAAAAATGTAGACTCTGCATTTGAATTTAAACTTCTTTTAATAGTGACATTACCCTTATTGGTCTTTATTAAACATTCTTCAAATTAAAAATATTAGTTCTTCTACAAATATTGTTTTGCTTTTTCATAATCAATAGTAATTTCAAAAATTTAACATTATTGGACATCTACGCGAAAATTTGCATCCTCTAGGAATTTATTAATTTTAAAAGCTGATTACATTAATTTCTCCATTAAACCAGTAATTTTATCATGCTACTTTTCATCCTAACTCTTTTTTGATAATTTCTTTATGATTAAATCTTTTACTTATTACTATTACATCTATGATTCCAATTCTTACTACAGATGCTTCAGAGTTTCTTAAGACTGTACACTAAAGCTGTCAAATGATTTTTTTGAATCTTAAAGATCTTATCCTCTTAATTTCAATGTATTTTGACATTAGCCTAGTTGTATATCTAATTAATTTAATTTACTATCTTTTTCTGAATTAATTTTTTACAACTATCTATATTTTTCCTAGAGTGTTGAATTTTGTTGTTATGCATTTTATAACTCTAGTTCAATTCTTTTTATTTAACCATTTAATCTTTGTATTTCTGTTTATTAGTTTTACCCTCCAAAATTTTGATCTTCTAAATCTGATTTTAATTTTTAGATTTCACTTTTTAATTCTTAATTATCCTTTTCTACTGTTGACTTTTACTATTGTAAACTTTAACATTCTTTTTTTTATCTATCCATCTATTAATTTTTTTATGTTAGTTCTCCATTTTTTTTCTCAATTTCTTCATTATCTTCTTCTATTTTTGCATTCAATTCTGAAATTTTCAGATAATAGTTATCGATTTATTATTTCAATTGCTATATTTAATTGTTTAACTATTAATTATTGTCTTCTAAAGATTATTTCTCTGAATTTAAATTTTTAACTTCTCTTATTAATTTTCTATTTTCTGAATCTTTATCTGAAAGTGTTTTATCTTTATCATCTTTAACAATATTAGTTTGCCTAATAGTATCTTCTTATTCTTCATTTACTTTTTTAAGTTCTTTTATTACTTTATCATTCTAAGCTATTTCTTGTTACAATCGATTATATTGTTATTCATTTTACTCTTCCATTGCTTTTTTTTCTCTTTCATACTTATCCTTATCATTTTTTAATTATTTTGTTAGTCTTGCCATATCAATTTCTTTCTGAGTTATATTATCATTTAATGCTTAAGCTTCATGTTTAAGTTGTTCATTCATTTGTTGTAAGTCACAATTCTATTTATTATAATTTTAAATATAATTATTCCACTTATTTAACTCACCTTAGTGGTAGATTTACCATCTATTTAACTTATCTGTCTTTTCTAAGTTGACTTTTACTAAATCTTTACCCAACTATTAAACTTAGTTACATAATTTTATATTCTCATTTTTTAAGTTTAAAATTTCTCTTGCTTGTTAATTGTTTTGATGGTCTAGCTCTAACCCGATTTAATTACATTTATTCCAAACTTTATTTATTTAATCTTCTTTTTCTTTATTAATTTTGTTTATTTCTTCATGGGACTTTAATAGAATATCAACAACTTTTGTGGAATTATGTTGAGATAATTATTATATTATTTCTGTATATTCTTGTTCTCTCTTTTTACTTTATTCTCTTAAATAATTTATATCCTATTTTGCTTAAGTCAATTCTTCTGAATTTTTTTCCAACTCTTACTCTAATTCTTTTTGCTTTTTATAAAGTATCGCAGCATCATAAACTTAATCATGCTTCATGTCTACAAGGATAATATTGTCGTCGGGAATTTAGTTATTTCTAATTCCTATCTCCTTGCTTATATTTTATGCTAAACACTTTTCAATTATACCATTTTTGTTGTCTGACATTTTATCATTAACTTTACAAGAATCCATTATTTAAATTATTAATAGAATTTGTGTTTTTCATTTTAATCATTAAATAAGATATAATTTAAAAAATATTGCTATTGGTGATTTAATTTAATTATCCATAAAATAAGTTTGGGTGTTGTTGATACCCCATTCGAAGTATAGCATACAGCCTGGGTTTGGGGTTGGGGTTGGTAAAGCCTACATGACGTTGTATTTTTCAAATGGGTTGGGGTTTGGGTTTGGGG